GTAGATACATTTTCTAACCTCTCTGGATTACAACCGAATTATGATAAATGTACTATATTACGTATTGGATCACTAAAAAATAAAAAATTTACATTACCATGTAGTTTACTAATAAAATGGTCTGATGGTGATGTGGATATACTCGGAATACATATCCCAAATGAAATAAATGATCTCACTCCAATACATTTTTATAGAAAGTTAGCAAAAATAGATAAGATCTTGCTACCATGGAAAGGTAAATACCTGTCAATTTGTGGAAAAATCACCCTGATTAACTCTTTAGTATTATCCCAGTTTACCTATTTGCTTATGGTCTTGCCTACGCCTAGCGAACAGTTTTTTAAATTGTATGAGAAAAAAAGATTCCATTTTATTTGGAACGGCAAGCCAGACAAAATTAAACTGGCCTATTTATATAATGAATATGAATTCGGAGGTAAGAAATTATTAAATATTAAAGCATTAGACCTATCACTAAAAGCTTCAGTCATACAAAAGTTATACTTAAATCCGAACTGGTTCTCTAGCAAATTAGTAAGATTGTCTCACCCAATGTTCAAGAATTGCCTTTTTCCCTTTATTCAGATTACAACCTCTCACTTTAAGTTATTTGAAAAGGAAATAATCTCCCAAATATCACTATTTCTAAAACAAGCCATAGAAAGTTGGTTGCAATTTCAATTTAATCCTCCAGAAACGACAGAACAAATAATGCAACAAATATTGTGGTTAAATTCAAATATACTAATTGATAAAAAAACATTTCTTTTTGACAAAATGTTTAAAAAAGGTATATCTTCGTAAATGATATTATCGGTAGGACTGGTGGAGTTGTCGCACATGCAGCTAACAAAAACATATGGAAATGTCTGCTCTACCCAAAATTACAACCAAATAATTGTAGCATTACAGCAAAAATGGAAAAGGAAAACGGAAGGGGGAAAAAGTAAGGAACTTGTCTGTCGGCCTTGCATTAAAGAATATAATTGGTAAAAGAAAATTGTGATAAATAAAAAAGTATACCAGTTTCATTTAAGGACCAAAGGATTGACAGCCGTCCCATATGGATTGCAAAATAGTTGGGAAGAGATTTTTGACGTACCGATTCCATGGCATAGTGTTTATGAATTGATACGCAAAACGATGCCGGATTCAAAACTTTATTATAATAAAAAATTCTTACTACCAATATAATGTTATTTATATGAGGAATACAATCTTCTCAGCTCTGCAGATTTTGCTGCGAAGAGACAGAATCATTAGATCATTTGTTTTGGTACTGTCCATTTGTAGCTTGTTTTTGGACACAGGTCCAGGAATGGCTAAAGGATTGCAATATTTACCTGGAGCTAACCCTGCAGATAGCACTACTGGGTGATCTGAAAAGTCATAGTCAATCGATCAATAATATAATAATACTTTTAGCAAAAATGTTTATATTCAATTTACGATCTGTAGAAACAATGAGAATAGAAAGGTTCAGAACTTTTGTAAAACATCACAGTACAGTTGAAAAATATGTGGCAAATAGAAATCCAATATGGATCGTGTTACGAGATAGATGGGAGGTGTTGAATGGAGCTGAAGGATGGGACTAATAACAACAACTAATAACAACAAGATAACTAATGTAAAGCATACTGTGTCTAATAAGTATATAGGTTATAGGTTGAGAGCTTTTGTGAAAAAGCACAGTTAGAAAAATATGGCATATGGAAGCAAACCAGATGGACATCATGAAAATGATTGGAGGAAGTTCAGGAGTAAAAACAAACAAAATATAATTATTGTAGAATTTGACTGTGTCCATAAAATGTATATAGTATGTATGGGCTGGAAGTAGAGGCCTAAGCGTTGTTGTTCACTAGTTTACTCCAATTGGGGAAGGGGTGGTGGGGTTGGAAAGTAATGAAGGGAAATATAATTTTAAAAAGGATATGTGTCTGTATGGATGTATGTATATATGTATGTATATATATGTATGCGTGTGTGTATGTATATATATATACAGTGAGGGAAAAAAGTATTTGATCCCCTGCTGATTTTGTACGTTTGCCCACTGACAAAGACATGATCAGTCTATAATTTTTTAATGGTAGGTTTATTTGAATAGCGAGAGACAGAATAACAACAAAAAAATCCAGAAAAACACATGTCAAAAATGTTATAAATTGATTTGCATTTTAATGAGGGAAATAAGTATTTGACCCCTCTGCAAAACATGACTTAGTACTTGGTGGCAAAACCCTTGTTGGCAATCACAGAGGTCAGACGTTTCTTGTAGTTGGCCACCAGGTTTGCACACATCTCAGGAGGGATTTTGTCCCACTCCTCTTTGCAGATCTTCTCCAAGTCATTAAGGTTTTCGAGGCTGACGTTTGGCAACTCAAACCTTCAGCTCCCTCCACAGATTTTCTATGGGATTAAGGTCTGGAGACTGGCTAGGCCACTCCAGGACCTTAATGTGCTTCTTCTTGAGCCACACCTTTGTTGCCTTGGCCGTGTGTTTTGGGTCATTGTCATGCTGGAATACCCATCCACGACCCATTTTCAATGCCCTGGCTGAGGGAAGGAGGTTCTCACCCAAGATTTGACGGTACATGGCCCCGTCCATCGTCCCTTTGATGCGGTGAAGTTGTCCTGTTCCCTTAGCAGAAAAACACACCCAAAGCATAATGTTTCCACCTCCATGTTTGACGGTGGGGATGGTGTTCTTGGGGTCATAGGCAGCATTCCTCCTCCTCCAAACACGGCGAGTTGAGTTGATGCCAAAGAGCTCCATTTTGGTCTCATCTGACCACAACACTTTCACCCAGTTCTCCTCTGAATCATTCAGATGTTCATTGGCAAACTTCAGACGGGCCTGTATATGTGCTTTCTTGAGCAGGGGGACCTTGCGGGCGCTGCAGGATTTCAGTCCTTCACGGCGTAGTGTGTTACCAATTGTTTTCTTGGTGACTATGGTCCCAGCTGCCTTGAGATCATTGACAAGATCCTCCCGTGTAGTTCTGGGCTGATTCCTCACCGTTCTCATGATCATTGCAACTCCACGAGGTGAGATCTTGCATGGAGCCCCAGGCCGAGGGAGATTGACAGTTCTTTTGTGATTCTTCCATTTGCGAATAATCGCACCAACTGTTGTCACCTTCTCACCAAGCTGCTTGGCGATGGTCTTGTAGCCCATTCCAGCCTTGTGTAGGTCTACAATCTTGTCCCTGACATCCTTGGAGAGCTCTTTGGTCTTGGCCATGGTGGAGAGTTTGGAATCTGATTGATTGATTGCTTCTGTGGACAGGTGTCTTTTATACAGGTAACAAACTGAGATTAGGAGCACTCCCTTTAAGAGTGTGCTCCTAATCTCAGCTCGTTACCTGTATAAAAGACACCTGGGAGCCAGAAATCTTTCTGATTGAGAGGGGGTCAAATACTTATTTCCCTCATTAAAATGCAAATCAATTTATAACATTTTTGACATGCGTTTTTCTGGATTTTGTTGTTGTTATTCTGTCTCTCACTGTTCAAATAAACCTACCATTAAAATGATAGACTGATCATTTCTTTGTCAGTGGGCAAACGTACAAAATCAGCAGGGGATCAAATACCTTTTTCCCTCACTGTACATACCATATCTGCATTTGGGTGTGCAGACCCACACTATAATGACTGCTGTACAAAGATACAATCACTACAATGACCCTTGCACAAATATAAAATTGAACAAAATATCTTTAATAGATATAAACATTTTTATACATCACAGCTCAAAGGAAACATCATCACATGCTGTAAAACATGAATGAAGGTGCAAATTATGATGAGCGTCAGAATCCTTTGATATATACAGGGTGTACAGTATAAGAACATAAGGGGAAGCTTGGGGGTTTAATAGTACAACTGACTGTAGACATGGAGGGTCTACCAAGTCACATCAGTAATAGGTGTGTCAGGTCTCCCTTCTAAGCAGACCAATGGTCAGGTTGGACTTACTAATAGACTTACAGATGACTGTAACTGGCATTTCAGGATTTACATAACCTCTTTATATTTCATGGCATACAGTACCGATTTCATCTACAGAGAGCAGAAAAGGATCAAATACGTGTGGCACCAGAGGCCTTCTAAAATGCTGTGGATCAGGATCAAGTCTGGATACGTATTTCCATGTAACCTGACATGTTATAATCACTAGGTGGCACTGTGAATCCAAAACAGCAGGCAGGCCAGGAAGGAACCATACTAATATTCTGGTAGGAAAATTTAAATAGATAAAGAAGAATTAATAACATCACTAAGAAGTTCATTGAACAGTAACCCTCGCCTTTCAGTCGTCCACCCAGTCAGCCCAGTTGTTTTCACACAGAAACCAATAGTACAATCTGGAACAACTGCATCCAGTAAGCCCATTTTACCCTCCTGAAATGAGGCAAATCCATAGAGAGGCATGGGGAAGTGGTAAAACTATATGTTAATTTTCAGTGGTAACATTTCTGTTCATATATATTTACAAAATAAAATTGTTGAACAGCTGTAGTTGATGATGAATTGTCAAGCTTATTATTGTCGTTATCATCATAGCCCACGGAAGTTAATACATCTCTGTCAGACATGCAGGGACACTACAGTACAGTGCCAGCAAATCCTAAAGAAGAGATTGCATGCTGTTCATCTCTCAGTTTCTCTCCATCCTCTATCTCCTCCTTTAAAACCTCTCACTGAGCAGTAAGTGGTGGCGGTATTACAGATCAACTGTGTTGAATGATGGCAGATCAGTTCATGATGGGATTGCTGAAGACCAAAGTGATTCAGTTCATGTTGATCATACAGCATTTAGATCCACTGTGAATCGGTCCATGTCAATAGCAGAATCACAGTTCATGTAGAAGGAATCAAAGACCAAGTCCTGTGGTTCTGTGAACCCATTGTGTGAATCAGTTTAAGTTTGAGTGTGTTGTGGTCACGTGTGTTCAGGTGTTCCTGTCTATTGCACATAGACAGAGTCAGTTCATGTCGATGGTGTTGAAGACCCACTCTGTGAACTTCTTGAGCTTGGCCGAAGCACTGTAGGACTCCTCCTGGAGTCGCTGGTTGTGCTCTTTCAGGCTCTCTATCTGCGCCTGCAGGGACACCTTGGCATCCTTCTCCTGGGGACACACACAGGGGGAGTCATCAATAGCACAGAGAGGAGTGGAAAGCTCTCGAATGGGGACTGCTGATATACGGAGAACTGGAACCACACTATAGAGATATCCTCCCTGCACACTTGTTTGACATTTCCACACTGAGAAGTAGTGATGGGGGGGGGGGGGGGGGGGGGGGGATATTATTTTTGACAACATATCGCAATATTAGTTTGACAATATCGCAATATTACTTTTGTGCTAGTTAGCTGTACCTGCACCAAAACTCCTGTATTTTTACTTTATAGCTTGTTCTGCTTTAATATTGCAGATAGATTGTAACTTCCATCAATGTAATTGTCTGCATCACTTCCAATCCCCCATATGTTTTTTCTTCTCGCAAATATACAGTGGGGAAAAAAAGTATTTAGTCAGCCACCAATTGTGCAAGTTCTCCCACTTAAAAAGATGAGAGAGGCCTGTAATTTTCATCATAGGTACACGTCAACTATGACAGACAAAATGAGAAAAAAAAATCCAGAAAATCACATTGTAGGATTTTTAATGAATTTATTTGCAAATTATGGTGGAAAATAAGTATTTGGTCAATAACAAAAGTTTCTCAATACTTTGTTATATACCCTTTGTTGGCAATGACACAGGTCAAACGTTTTCTGTAAGTCTTCACAAGGTTTTCACACACTGTTGCTGGTATTTTGGCCCATTCCTCCATGCAGATCTCCTCTAGAGCAGTGATGTTTTGGGGCTGTCGCTGGGCAACACGGACTTTCAACTCCCTCCAAAGATTTTCTATGGGGTTGAGATCTGGAGACTGGCTAGGCCACTCCAGGACCTTGAAATGCTTCTTACGAAGCCACTCCTTCATTGCCCGGATGGTGTGTTTGGGATCATTGTCATGCTGAAAGACCCAGCCACGTTTCATCTTCAATGCCCTTGCTGATGGAAGGAGGTTTTCACTCAAAATCTCACGATACATGGCCCCATTCATTCTTTCCTTTACACAGATCAGTCGTCCTGGTCCCTTTGCAGAAAAACAGCCCCAAAGCATGATGTTTCCACCCCCATGCTTCACAGTAGGTATGGTGTTCTTTGGATGCAACTCAGCATTCTTTGTCCTCCAAACACGACGAGTTGAGTTTTTACCAAAAAGTTCTATTTTGGTTTCATCTGACCATATGACATTCTCCCAATCCTCTTCTGGATCATCCAAATGCACTCTAGCAAACTTCAGACGGGCCTGGACATGTACTGGCTTAAGCAGGGGGACAAGTCTGGCACTGCAGGATTTGAGTCCCTGGCGGCGTAGTGTGTTACTGATGGTAGGCTTTGTTACTTTGGTCCCAGCTCTCTGCAGGTCATTCACTAGGTCCCCCCGTGTGGTTCTGGGATTTTTGCTCACCGTTCTTGTGATCATTTTAACCCCACGGGGTGAGATCTTGCGTGGAGCCCCAGATCGAGGGAGATTATCAGTGGTCTTGTATGTCTTCCATTTCCTAATAATTGCTCCCACAGTTGATTTCTTCAAACCAAGCTGCTTACCTATTGCAGATTCAGTCTTCCCAGCCTGGTGCAGGTCTACAATTTTGTTTCTGGTGTCCTTTGACAGCTCTTTGGTCTTGGCAATAGTGGAGTTTGGAGTGTGACTGTTTGAGGTTGTGGACAGGTGTCTTTTATACTGATAACAAGTTCAAACAGGTGCCATTAATACAGGTAACGAGTGGAGGACAGAGGAGCCTCTTAAAGAAGAAGTTACAGGTCTGTGAGAGCCAGAAATCTTGCTTGTTTGTAGGTGACAAAATACTTATTTTTCACCATAATTTGCAAATAAATTCATTAAAAATCCTACAATGTGATTTTCTGGAATTTTTTCTCTCAATTTGTCTGTCATAGTTGACGTGTACCTATGATGAAAATTACAGGCCTCTCTCATCTTTTTAAGTGGGAGAACTTGCACAATTGGTGGCTGACTAAATACTTTTTTCCCCCACTGTATACAGTGGGGAGAACAAGTATTTGATACACTGCCGATTTTGCAGGTTTTCCTACTTACAAAGCATGTAGAGGTCTGTAATTTTTATCATAGGTACACTTCAACTGTGAGAGACGGATTGTATGATTTTTAAGTAATTCATTTGCATTTTATTGCATGACATAAGTATTTGATACAGCAGAAAAGCAGAACTTAATATTTGGTACAGAAACCTTTGTTTGCAATTACAGTGATCATACGTTTCCTGTAGGTCTTGACCAGGTTTGCACACACTGCAGCAGGGATTTTGGCCCACTCCTCCATACAGACCTTCTCCAGAGCCTTCAGGTTTCGGGGCTGTCGCTGGGCAATACGGACTTTCAGCTCCCTCCAAAGATTTTCTATTGGGTTCAGGTCTGGAGACTGGCTAGGCCACTCCAGGACCTTGAGATGCCTCTTACGGAGCCACTCCTTAGTTGCCCTGGCTGTGTGTTTCGGGTCGTTGTCATGCTGGAAGACCCAGCCATGACCCATCTTCAATGCTCTTACTGAGGGAAGGAGGTTGTTGGCCAAGATCTCGCGATACATGGCCCCATCCATCCTCCCCTCAATACGGTGCAGTCGTCCTGTCCCCTTTGCAGAAAAGCATCCCCAAAGAATGATGTTTCCACCTCCATGCTTCACGGTTGGGATGGTGTTCTTGGGGTTGTACTCATCCTTCTTCTTCCTCCAAACACGGCGAGTGGAGTTTAGACCAAAAAGCTCTATTTTTGTCTCATCAGACCACATTAACTTCTCCCATTCCTCCTCTGGATCATCCAGATGGTCATTGGCAAACTTCAGACGGGCCTGGACATTTTAATCCATGACGGCGTAGTGTGTTACTAATGGTTTTCTTTGAGACTGTGGGCCCAGCTCTCTTCAGGTCATTGACCAAGTCCTGCCGTGTAGTTCTGGGCTGATCCCTCACCTTTCTCATGATCATTGATGCCCCACGAGGTGAGATCTTGCATGGAGCCCCAGACTGAGGGTGATTGACCGTCATCTTGAACTTCTTCCATTTTCTAATAATTGCGCCAACAGTTGTTGCCTTCTCACCAAGCTGCTTGCCTATTGTCCTGTAGCCCATCCCAGCCTTGTGCAGGTCTACAATTTTATCCCTGATGTCCTTACACAGCTCTCTGGTCTTGGCCATTGTGGAGAGGTTGGAGTCTGTTTAATTGAGTGTGTGGACAGGTGTCTTTTATACAGGTAACGAGTTCAAACAGGTGCAGTTAATACAGGTAATGAGTGGAGAACAGGAGGCTTCTTAAAGAAAATCTAACAGGTCTGTGAGAGCTGGAATTCTTACTGGTTGGTAGGTGATCAAATACTTATGTCATGCAATAAAATGCTAATTAATTACTTAAAAATCATACAATGTGATTTTCTGGATTTTTGTTTTAGATTCCGTCTCTCACAGTTGAAGTGTACCTATGATAAATTACAGACCTCTACATGCTTTGTAAGTAGGAAAACCTGCAAAATAGGCAGTGTATCAAATACTTCTTCTCCCCACTGTATATATACATACATACATACATACATACATATATACATACAGTAGAAGTCGGAAGTTTACATACACTTAGGTTGGGGTCATTAAAACTTGTTTTTCAACCACTCCACACATTTCTTGTTAACAAACTATAGTTTTGGCAAGTCAGATAGGACATCTACTTTGTGCATGACACAAGTAATTTTTCCAACAATTGTTTACAGGCAGATTATTTCACTTATAATTCACTGTATCACAATTCCAGTGGGTCAGACGTTTACATACACTAAGTTGACTGTGCCTTTAAACAGCTTGGAAAATTCCAGAAAATGATGGCTTTAGAAGCTTCTGATAGGCTAACTGACATAATTTGAGTCAATTGGAGGTGTACCTGTGGATGTATTTCAAGGCCTACCTTCAAACTCAGTGCCTCTTTTCTTGACATCATGGGAAAATCAAAAGAAATCAGCCAAGACCTCAGAAAAAAAATTGTAGACCTCCACAAGTCTGGTTCATCCTTGGGAGCAATTTCCAAATGCCTGAAGGTACAACGTTCATCTGTACAAACAATAGTATGCAAGTATAAACACCATGGGACCACGCAGCTGTCATACCGCTCAGGAAGGAGACGCGTTCTGTCTCCTAGAGATGAACGTACTTTGGTGCGAAAAGTGCAAATCAATCCCAGAACAACAGCAAAGGACCTTGTGAAGATGTTGGAGGAAACAGGTACAAAAGTATCTATATCCACAGTAAAACAAGTCCTATATCGACATAACCTGAAAGGCCGCTCAGCAAGGAAGAAGCCACTGCTCCAAAACCGCCATAAAAAAGTCAGACTACGGTTTGCAACTGCACATGGGGACAAAGATCATACTTTTTTGAGAAATGTCCTCTGGTCTGATGAAACAAAAATAGAACTGTTTGGCCATAATGACCATCGTTATGTTTGGAGGAAAAAGGGAGTTGCTTGCAAGCCGAAGAACACCATCCCAACCATGAAGCACGGGGGTGGCAGCATCATGCTGTGGGGGTGCTTTGCTGCAGGAGGGACTGGTGCACTTCACAAAATAGATCATGAGGAAGGAAAATTATGTGGATATGTTGAAGCAACATCTCAAGACATCAGTCGGGAAGTTAAAGCTTGGTCGCAAATGGGTCTTCCAAATGGACAATGACCCCAAGCATACTTCCAAAATTGTGGCAAAATGGCTTAAGGACAACAAAGTCAAGGTATTGGAGTGGCCATCACAAAACCCTGACCTCAATCCTATAGAAAATGTGTGGGCAGAACAGAAAAAGGTTGTGCGAACAAGGAGGCCTACAAACCTGACTCAGTTACACCAGCTCTGTCAGGAGGAATGGGCCAAAATCCACCCAACTTATTGTGGGAAGCTTGTGGAAGACTACCCGAAACATTTGACCTAAGTTAAACAATTTAAAGGTAATGCTACCAAATACTAATTGAGTGTATGTAAACTTCTGACCCACTGGGAATGTGATGAAAGAAATAAAAGCTGAAATAAATAATTCTCTCTACTATTATTCTGACATTTCACATTCTTCAAATAATGTGGTGATCCTAACTGAACGGGAATTTTTACTTAAATGTCAGGAATTGTGAAAAACTGAGTTTAAATGTATTTGGCTAAGGTGTATGTAAACTTCCGGCTTCAACTGTACATACATATACAGTGGGGAAAAAAAGTATTTAGTCAGCCACCAATTGTGCAAGTTCTCCCACTTAAAAAGATGAGAGAGGCCTGTAATTTTCATCATAGGTACACGTCAACTATAACAGACAAATTGAGAAAAAAAATGCAGAAAATCACATTGTAGGATTTTTAATGAATATATTTGCAAATTATGGTGGAAAATAAGTATTTTGTCACCTACAAACAAGCAAGATTTCTGGCTCTCACAGACCTGTAACTTCTTCTTTAAGAGGCTCCTCTGTCCTCCACTCGTTACCTGTATTAATGGCACCTGTTTGAACTTGTTATCAGTATAAAAGACACCTGTCCACAACCTCAAACAGTCACACTCCAAACTCCACTATGGCCAAGACCAAAGAGCTGTCAAAGGACACCAGAAACAAAATTGTAGACCTGCACCAGGCTGGGAAGACTGAATCTGCAATAGGTAAGCAGCTTGGTTTGAATAAATCAACTGTGGGAGCAATTATTAGGAAATGGAAGACATACAAGACCACTGATAATCTCCCTCGATCTGGGGCTCCACGCAAGATCTCACCCCGTGGGGTCAAAATGATCACAAGAACGGTGAGCAAAAATCCCAGAACCACACGGGGGGACCTAGTGAATGACCTGCAGAGAGCTGGGACCAAAGTAACAAAGCCTACCATCAGTAACACACTACGCCGCCAGGGACTCAAATCCTGCAGTGCCAGACGTGTCCCCCTGCTTAAGCCAGTACATGTCCAGGCCCGTCTGAAGTTTGCTAGAGTGCATTTGGTTGATCCAGAAGAGGATTGGGAGAATGTCATATGGTCAGATTAAACCAAAATATAACTTTTTGGTAAAAACTCAACTCGTCGTGTTTGGAGGACAAAGAATGCTGAGTTGCATCCAAAGAACACCATACCTACTGTGAAGCATGGGGGTGGAAACATCATGCTTTGGGGCTGTTTTTCTGCAAAGGGACCAGGACGACTGATCCGTGTAAAGGAAAGAATGAATAGGGCCATGTATCGTGAGATTTTGAGTGAAAACCTCCTTCCATCAGCAAGGGCATTGAAGATGAAACGTGGCTGGGTCTTTCAGCATGACAATGATCCCAAACACACCGCCCGGGCAACGAAGGAGTGGCTTCGTAAGAAGCATTTCAAGGTCCTGGAGTGGCCTAGCCAGTCTCCAGATCTCAACCCCATAGAAAATCTTTGAAGGGAGTTGAAAGTCTGTGTTGCCCAGCGACAGCCCCAAAACATCACTGCTCTAGAGGAGATCTGCATGGAGGAATGGGCCAAAATACCAGCAACAGTGTGTGAAAACCTTGTGAAGACTTACAGAAAACGTTTGACCTGTGTCATTGCCAACAAAGGGTATATAACAAAGTATTGAGAAACTTTTGTTATTGACCAAATACTTATTTTCCACCATAATTTGCAAATAAATTCATAAAAAATCCTACAATGTGATTTTCTGGAGAAAAAAAATCTCATTTTGTCTGTCATAGTTGACGTGTACCTATGTTTTTTTAAATTACAGGCCTCTCTCATCTTTTTAAGTGGGAGAACTTGCACAATTGGTGGCTGACTAAATACTTTTTCCCCCCACTGTATATATATATATATATTTACACATACATATACATATCCTTTTTTTAAATATATTTCCCTTTATTACTTTCCAACCCCACCACCCCTTCCCTAATTGGAGTAAACTAGTGAACAACAATGCTTAGGCCTCTACTTCCAGCTTATACATACAATATACATTTTATGGACACAGTCGATTTTACAATAATTATATTTTGTTTGTTTTTACTCCTGAACTTCCTCTACCCTCAACCTCTCTGATCATTTTCATGATGTCCATCCGGTTTGCTTCTACACTGTGTGCACAATTATTAGGCAAGTCAGTATTTTGACCATATCATCATTATTATGCATATTTCCCAACTCCAAGCTATATAAACTGGAATGCTTATTGGATTTAAGCATATCAGGTGATGTGTATTTGTGTAATGAGGGAGGGTGTGGCCTAAGGAGATCAACACCCTATATCAAGGTGTGTATAATTATTAGGCAGCTTCTTTTCCTCAGGCAAAATGGGCCAAAAAAGAGATTTAACTGACTCTGAAAAGTCAAAAATTGTAAAAAGTATTTCAGAGGGATGCAGCACTCTTGAAATTGCTAAGATATTGGGGCGTGATCACAGAACCATCAAATGTTTTGTTGCAAATAGTCAACAGGGTCGCAAGAGCCGTGTTGAGAAAAAAAGATGCAAATTAACTGCGAAAGATTTGAGAAGAATCAAACGTGAAGCTACCAGGAACCCATTATCCTCCAGTGCTGTCATATTCCAGTACTGCAACTGCAACCTAAGGGCTGTAAGTAAGCATTTCACTGTAATGTCTGCACCTGTTGTATTCGGCGCATGTGACCAATAAAATTTGATTTGATTTGATTTACCTGGAGTGCCCAGAAGTACAAGGTGTTCAGGGCTCAGAGACATGGCCAAGGTAAGGAAGGCTGAAACCCGACCACCACTGAACAAGACACATAAGTTGAAACGTCAAGACTGGGCCAAGAAATATCTGAAGACAGATTTTTCAAAGGTTTTATGGACTGATGAGATGAGAGTGACTCTTGACGGACCAGATGGATGGGCCCGTGGCTGGATCAGTAACGGGCACGGAGCTCCACTTCGACTCAGACGCCAGCAAGGTGGAGGTGGGGTACTGGTATGGGCTGGTATTATTAAAGATGAGCTAGTTGGACCTTTTCAGGTTGAAGATGGACTCAAACTCAACTCCCAAACCTACTCCCAGTTTTTAGAAGACACTTTCTTCAAGCAGTGGTACAGGAAAAAGTCTGGATCTTTCAAGAAGACCATGATCGTCAACAGATCAAGAAACTGACAGACTCCCAGACACTGGTGGCTATATTGGTCACAGATTTTTTTTTTTTTTATGTCAGAAATGTGTATTTGTACATTTTTAGTTGTTTGTTTATTATTCTCACTTTAACAGATGAAAATAAACAAGTGAGATGGGGAACTTTTCGTTTTTCATTTAGTTGCATAATAATTCTGCACACTTAGATATTCTCCAAAGAAAGCCAAACCTCACTTTTACTTTCTTAAATATTCAGGTTTGAGGTTTATTAAGATTTTGGATTGACCGAGAGCACTGTAGTTGTTCAATAATAAAATGTATCCTCAATCATACAACTTGCCTAATAATTGTGCACACAGTGTATATGCCATATCCTTCTAACTGTGCTCTTTCACAAAAGCTCTCAACCTATAACCTATATACTTATTATGGACACAGTATGCTTACATTATTAGTTATCTTGTTGTTATTAGTTGTTGTTAGTTGTTATTAGTCCCATCCTTCAACTCCATTCAACACTATCCATCTATCTCTTAACATCATCCATATTGGATTTCTATTTGCCATATATTTTTCAACTGTACTGTGATGTTTTACAAATGTTCTGAACCTTTCTATTCTCATTGTTTCTACAGATTGTAAATTGAAAATAAACATTTTTGTAAAAGTATTATTATATTATTGATTGATTGACTGCCTTTTCAGATCACCCAGTAATGCTATCTGCAGGGTTAGCGCCAGGTAAATATTGCAATCCTTTAGCCATTCCTTGGACCTGTGTCCAAAAACAAGCTACAAATGGACAGTACCAAAACAAATGATCTAATGATTCTGTCTCTTCGCAGCAAAATCTGCAGAGCTGGGAAGATTGTATCCCCCATATAAATAACATTCTATTAGTAGCAAGAATTTTATATAATAATTTAAATTGAACAATTGAATCCGGTGTCGTTTTGCATATCAGTTCACAAAAACTATGCCATGGGATCGGTACGTCAAAAATCTGTGTTCTCCATCTTCTTTTTGAATAGGGAGCCAATTAGTTTTCAGCACTTTTATTTCCATGACTGAGCAAAACTCGTTTTCTCATGGCTCTCTCTTGTCCCTCTGCAGCAGAAATATGGTGAGCAATATGTTTGGAACATCGAATCGCAATAAAATCACAGTATCGAATTGCAATACATATAGAATCGTGAGAATCGTTATCCATATCACATCGGCACCTAAGTACCATGATAATATCGTATGGTGAAGTCCCTGGCAATTCCCAGCCCTGCTCTTTCAACTGTTCTTTCTACTGGTCTAACCCCTGTTAGGGAAAGGGCACAAGGTTTATTAGTAAGAACTGAACAGAAGAACAGAAATGCCTAGGCTAGAGAACTGGTTGTGTCTTGTCTCACCTTATTAAGGTCGTCCTGAAGTAGCTTCACCATGGACTCCAGCTGGCTCACCTTCCCCATCAGACAGGCTGGGCTCTCACTGTGGGAGGGGAAACACTGTTAACTACCATATTCTAAACTAAAACAAGACTAGCATGACCTGGGGCATATTGGCTTAAAATAGTCAGAGGAGTTTTTCCTAACCATGTGACCTGGCCAGGAAAAACTGTGCCCAAGTTGTAGGATAAACTCCTGGCCCTACCTACAGTACCAGTCAAAGTTTGGACACACCTACTCATTCCAGGGTTTTTCTTTATTTCCCTCATTAAAATGCAAATCAATTTATAACATTTTGACATGCATTTTTCTGGATTTTTTTGTTGTTATTCTGTCTCTCACTGTTCAAATAAACCTACCATTAAAATTATAGACTGATCATTTCTTTTGTCAGTGGGCAAACTTACAAAATCAGCAGGGGATCAAATACTTTTTTCCCTCATTGTCTATTTTGATTTGTTTAACACTTTGATGGTTACTACATGATTCCATGTGTTATTTCATAGTTTTGATGTCTTCACTATTATTGTACAATGTAGAAAATAGTAAAAAAATAAAGAAAAACCCTTGAATGACTAGGTGTCTCCAAACTTTTGACTGGTACTGTATGTCTACAGAATTCTCTGGACGTGCATGGTAAGTGGGTCTTACCCAGGCGAGGGGTGTGTCTGTGGGGCAGCCTGGGGTTCTGCCTGCTGGGGGCTGGTGTCTGTGACCTCTGGCCTGGAGCTTTCATCATTTACAGATAACAGTCTCTGAACTGCAAAGCCAGAGAAAAACAGAACAGTTACAGCTTCAGTCACAGCTCAGATGGACAACACACAGCAATGAGACAGAGCGCCACTGCCCTCTGCTGGTAAAGGTAGTACATTTCTACTTTACTCTGCCTACCCTCGAAGGCCTTGGCAGCATCTACCAGGTTGGACCAATCCAGAGCGCAGTCAGCTCCAGAGTTAGGTAGGGGCATGAGGCCTGGGTCCCCCAGCTGCTGCCTCCTGCAGCCCTGGTCCTGGCTGGACGACTCACACAGGTCACCTGCAGGGGAGAGGAGTGCGGGAGGAGAGACATCAGATTACAACAGAGCCCCAACATATCCGAAGACTTTCTCATCAAATAAAGCACTAAAAAAGATGACCAATTATACTCCACATAACTCTGTGGTTACCCACACTTAAGGAGTTATGGCATTACTCTGATAACACCTCTAGGATAAACCGCGCTCCCTTGGTTTGAGATGGAACTCATGTAGGATGAGATGGCATTGGCTTTACTCAAGGATAACTTGCAGGATAATCTGAGGCTCACCCAGAGACTTGTGTGAGGGTTGTCTGGGTGGCGCGTGGCGGGCGGTGGGTGAGCGGGGCAATGTGGAGCAGCTGAAGAGCAGGTCGTTGGGCGTCTCTCTGGGCCCGCTGTACGAGGGCTCCCGCTGCCCGCTGTAGATGCTCTCGTCTGACAGGGTCCTCTGCAGGGAGCGGCGGGTGGGCGGGGGGGCGGGGAATGAGGGCTGGAGAGAGTGAGGGGGAGATAGAGGAGCACCGTGAGGCTGCTGATTGACCTATACACTCAGCCTTTAGCATGTTGCAGAGTTTACCTGGCGAAGCAGGGAAGGGAGTTTGGATTAATCAAGCAAATACTCATATCAACTACTCTTGAATACGTTTTTTATACACTACCGGTCAAAGGTTTTAGAACACCTACTCATTCAAGGGTTTTTCTTAATTTTTTACTATTTTCTACATTGTAGAATAATAGTGAAGTCATCAAAATTATGAAATAACACATATGGAATCACGAATTAACCGAAAAAGTGTTAAATAAATCAAAATATATTTTATATTTGAGATTCTTCAAATAGCCAACCTTTGCCTTGATGACAGCTTTGCACACTCTTGGCATTATCTCAACCAGCTTCATGAGGTAGTCACCTGGAATGCATTTCAATTAACAGGTGTGCCTTGTTAAAAGTTAATTTGTGGAATTTCTTTCCTTCTTAATGCGTTTGAGCTAATCAGTTGTGTTTTGACAAGGTAGGGGGGGACGGTATACAGAAGATAGCCCTATTTGGTAAAAGACCAAGTCCATATTATGGCAAGAACAGCTCATATAAGCAAAGAGAAACGACAGTCCATCATTACTTGAAGACATGAAGGTCAGTCAATACGGAAAGTTTCAAGAACTTTGAAAGTTTCTTCAAATGCAGTCGCAAAAACCATCAAGTGCTATGATGAAACTGGCTCTCATGAGGACCCAGAGTCACCTCTGCTGCAGAGGATAAGTTAATTAGAGTTACCGTCCTCAGAAAATAAATGCTTCACAGAGTTCGAGTAACAGACACATCTCAACATCAACTGTTCAGAGGAGACTGTGTGAATCAGGCCTTCATGGTCGAATTGCTGCAAAGAAACCACTACTAAAGGACACCAATAAGAAGAAGAGACTTGTTTGGGCATTAGACCGGTGGAAATTTGTCCTTTGGTCTGGAGTCCAAATTGGAGATTTTGGTTCCAACCGCTGTACCGCTGTGTCTTTGTGAGACGCGGTGTGGGTGAACAGATGATCTTCGCAAGTGTATTTCCCACCGTAAAGCTTGAAGGAGGAGGTGTTATGGTGTGAGGGTGCTTTGCTGGTGTCACTGTCTGTGATTTATTTAGAATTCAAGGCACACTTAACCAGCATGGCTACCACAGCATTCTGCAGCGATACGCCGTACCATCTGGTTTGTCCTTAGTGGGACTATCATTTGTTTTTCAACAGGACAATGACCCAACACACCTTCAGGCTGTGTAAGGGATATTTTACCAAGAAGGAGAGTGATGGAGTGCTGCATCAGATGACCTGGCCTACACAATCCCCCGACCTCAACCCAATTGAGATGGTTTGGGATGAGTCGGACCGCAGAGTGAAGGAAAAGCAGCCAACAAGTGCTCAGCATATGTGGGAACTCCTTCAAGACTGTTGGAAAAGCATTCCAGGTGAAGTTGGTTGAGAGAATGCCAAGAGTGTGCAAAGCTGTCATCAAGGCAAAGGGTGGCTATTTGAAGAATCTCAAATATAAAATATATTTTGACTTGTTTAACACTTTTTTGGTTACTACATGTTTCCATATGTGTTATTTTATAGTTTTGATGTCTTCACTATTATTCTACAATGTAGAAAATAGTAAAAATAAAGAAAAACCCTTGAGTGAGTAGGTGTTCTAAAACTTTTGACCGGTAGTGTATATATTTCAAATTTTAACTATGTGATTTCTCATCAATGTGACAATAACTTCCATAGTAAAATGGATGATGGTGCTGCCAGCTACCTTTTGGTCATGGGAGGAGGGCGGGGGGCTGTCTAGGGTGATGAGTTTCTTCAGGTCCTCCTGCAGGTTGGACTTGTTGACCCGCTGGGGGGATTGGGCCCTGAGCTGGGCCCGGAGCTGGGGCTGGCCAGCCAGCAACCCATCACTCTGGTGACGTCTGAGGAAGAGGGAGAGCGAAGACCAGCAGTGTTACGGTGCCGATCTCAGTTCAACCACATGGTGGGAGTGTTGCACTTGTTTATAAACAAACATGAGCCATGACGGAGGTGGGAAATGCATCTCCTCTCAGTTGACTCAGATCTTAAGCCTCTATAACATCAACAATCTAGGACAGTAGGATTTGTTTGTATGGGGAAATAACATCCTTTCACAACAAGACTCACAGTGTAATGGCCTCATTGATGTATCAATAAACACATGTATGTTCAACATTCCTTCTCTATTTCCCCCCATGCTCACTTGCGTTTGTTGCCAAAGTCCACAGAGTTGATGGTGCCTCCCGGCTTCCTCCAGCCGATAAGGAACTTGGAGGTGGCTCCCTGGCGGGGATAGAAGCTTTTGGGGGCTCCAGGGGAGAGGGAAGTCTCGGATGTGGGGGAGGTGGTCAGGGCTGACTCCTCCTGGGAGGAGCTGGGGCTACAGCCTGTACCCATGGGACTGCCCGAGTGGCCCGAGCTCAGGGTACTGGGAAGAAAAACAAACAGCTAGTATAGGTATATTTATAAACTGGGTGATTCGAGCCCTGAATGCTGATTGGCTGAAAGACGTGGTATATGAGCCAATATAGCACGGGTATGACAAAACATTTATTTTGTACTGTTCTAATTACGTTTGTAACCAGTTTATAATAGCAATAAGGCACCTCATGGGTTTGTAGTATATGGCCAAAACACCACGGCTATGGGCTGTATCCAGGCACTCCGTGTTGCATCGTGCTTAAGAACAGCCCTTAGCCATGGTATATTGGCCATATACAGTGGCTTGCGAAAGTATTCACCCCCTTGTCATTTTTCCTATTTTCTTGCCTTACAACCTGAAATAAAATAGATTTTTGGGGGGGTTGTATCATTTGATTTACACAACATGCCTACCACTTTGAAGATGCAAAATATTTTTTCTTGTGAAACAAACAAGAAATAGGACAAAAAAACTGAAAACTTGAGCATGCATAACTATTCAACCCCCCATCATACTTAGGTAGCCTACTGGCAATCATGGGTTGTGGGATCTTGTTCCGTGCGTAGGCTTGTTTTGTGTTTAGCCTGAGGACTTCACGTTACGTTGGTTTGTTGTTTTGTTCGTGTCTTTATCGTTTAAATAAACATGTATGCATTTCACGCTGCACCATGGTCTGACCCGTCCTTAAACGAGCGTGACAGAAGATCCCACCAAACACGGACCAAGCAGCGTGCCCAGGAGGGGCAAACACCCTGGAGATGTGGTCTTGGGAGGAGATATTTGCAGGGAAAGGACCATGGGCGAAGGTAGCTGCCCAGGCAGGAGAGGAGCAACGGCAACACAGAGGGTGCCGGTCGAGGAGGAAGCACGAGAAGCAGCCCCAATAAAAAAAATTGGGGGGGTCACACAGGGTGGTTGGCGGAGCCTAGGTTCAGAGCAGAGCCAACTCCCCGTACTCACGCTAGGAAGCGTGTGACTGGGCAGGCTCCGTGTTATGTGGAGCTACGTACTGTGTCGCCAGTGCGCCGGCACAGTCCTGTACGTCCTGTGCTAGCACCACGCACGTGCCGTAGAAAATGGGCATCCAGCCAGGACGGGTTGTGCGGCTCAACGCTCCTGGTCTCCAGTACGCCTCCTCGGTCCCGCATATCCTGCGCCGGTTCTACGTACTGTATCGCCAGTGCGCGTGCACAGCCCAGTGCGTCCTGTGCTAATGCCACACACGTACTGTGCGGAAGTAGGCATCCAGCCAGGACGGGTTGTGCCAGCTCTCCGCTCCAGACCTCCAGTCCGCCTCCACAGTCCGGCCTGGCCTGTTCCTGTTCCTCGCAACAAGCCAGTGGTGCGTGTTCCCAGTCCGGTATGGCCCGTGCCTGCTCCCCGCACCAAGCTGGTGGTGCGTGTCGCCAGCCCGGTACGCCCCGTACCTGCTCCCCGCACCAAGCCAGTGGTGCGTGTCGCCAGCCCGGTACGACCCGTACCTGCTCCCCGCACCAAGCCAGTGGTGTGTGTCCCCAGTCCGGCCCGGCCCGTTCCTGCTCCCCGCACCAAGCCAGTGGTGCGTGTTCACAGTCCGGCCCGGCCCGTTCCTGCTCCCCGCACCAAGCCAGTGGTGTGTGTTCCCAGTCCGGTACGGCCCGTGCCTGCTCCCCGCACCAAGCTGGTAGTGCGTGTCGCCAGCCCTGTACGCCCCGTACCTGCTCCCCGCACCAGACCAGTGGTGCGTGTGTCCAGTCCGGCACGGCCCGTGCCCGTTCCACCGGTGCCTGGTCCGGCACCGGTCAGCTGCTCCAGTCCGGAGCCAGAGCAGTTCGCTCCACCGGTGCCTGATCCAGCTCCGGTCAGCTGCTCCACTCCGGAGCCAGAGCAGTCCGCCCCACTGGGATCCAGTCCAGCGCCGGTCAGCTGCTCTACTCCGGAGCCAGAGCAGTCCGCTCCACCGGGGTCCAGTCCAGCTCCGGTCAGCTGCTCCACTCCGGAGCCAGAGCAGTCCGCTCCACCGGTGCTGAGTCCAGCTCCGGTCAGCGGCTCCAGTCCGGAGCCAGAGCAGTCCGCTCGAGGTTCGAGGTTCAGGTTTGGGGTCTCCCACACCAGGGTCCAGACAGGGCTTGGTACATCGTGGGAGGAAGGAGAGGGGAAGCAGCGCGCCTAGGTCCAGACCAGACCAGGGGCGTAACGGGGAGGCGGAATGCCCACCCGGACCCTTCCCTGTTATGTCAGGTTGGTGCGGTCGGAGTCCGCACCTTGGGGGGGGGGGGGGGGGGGGGGGGGTACTGTCACACCCTGACTCATGGGACTCTTGTATGGTGAGTCAGGGTGTGGATATTCTATGTTAGTATTTCTATGTTGCATTCTAGGTTGTGTAGTTCTATGTTTGGCCGGGTGTGATTCCCAATCAGAGGCAGCTGTCGCTCGTTGTCTCTGATTGGGGATCATACTTAGGTAGCCTATTGGCAATCATGGGTTGTGGATCTTGTTCCGTGTGTAGGCTTGTTTTGTGTTTAGCCTGAGGACTTCACGTTACGTTGGTTTGTTGTTTTGTTCGTGTCTTTATCGTTTAAATAAACATGTATGCATTTCACGCTGCGCCGTGGTCTGACCCGTCCTTAAACGAGCGTGACATCTGGACTTTGACTAGGCCATTCCAAGACATTTAAATGTTTCCCCTTAAACCACTTGAGTGTTGCTTTAGCAGTATGCTTAGGGTCATTGTCCTGCTGGAAGGTGAACCTCCGTCCCAGTCTCAAATCTCTGGAAGACTGAAATAGGTTTCCCTCAAGAATTTCCCTGTATTTAGTGCCATCCATCATTCCTTCAAATCTGACCAGTTTCCCAGTCCCTGCCGATGAAAAACATCCCCACAGCATAATGGTGCCACCACCATGCTTCACTGTGGGGATGGTGTTCTCGGGGTGATGAGAGGTGTTGGGTTTCTTGATGGCCAAAAAGCTCAATTTTAGTCTCATCTGACCAGAGTACCTTCTTCCATATGTTTGGGGAGCCTCCAACATCGCTTTTGGCGAACACCAAAAGTGTTTGCTTATTTCTTTCTTTAAGCAATGGTTTTTTTCTGGCCACTGTTCCGTAAAGCCCAGCTCTGTGGAGTGTCTGGGTTAAAGTGGTCCTATGGACAGATACTCCAATCTCCGCTGTGGAGCTTTGCAGCTCCTTCAGGGTTATCTTTGGTCTCTTTGTTGCCTCTCTGATTAATGCCCTCCTTGCCTGGTCTGTGAGTTTTGGTTGGCGGCCCTCTCTTGGCAGGTTTGTTGTGGTGCCATATTTGTTCCATTTTTTAAATAATGGATTTAATGGTGCTCCGTGGGATGTTCAAAGTTTCTGATATTTTTTTATAACCCAACCCTGATCTGTACTTCTCTAAAACTTTGTCCCTGACCTGTTTGGAGAGCTCCTTGGTCTTCATGGTGCCGCTTGGTGGTGCCCCTTGCTTAGTGGAGTTGCAGACTCTGGGGCCTTTCAGAACAGGTGTATATATACTCAGATCATGTGACACTTAGATTGCACACAGGTGGACTTTATTAAACTAATTATGTGACTTCTGAAGGTAATTGGTTGCACCAGATCTTATTTAGGGGCTTCATAGCAAAGGGGGTGAATACATATGCACGCACCACTTTTCCGTTATGTTTTGAAACAAGTTATTTTTTTCATTTCACTTCACCAATTCGGACTATTTTACATGAAATCCAAATAAAAATCAATTTAAATTACAGGTTGTAATGCAACAAAATAGGAAAAACGCCAAGGGGGATGAATACTTTTGCAAGGCACTGTACCACACCCCCTTGTGCCTTATTGCTTAATTATATTTATATACAGTACCAGTCAAAAGTTTGGACACACCTACTAATTCCAGGGTTTTTCTTTATTTTTACTACTTTCTACATTGTAGAATAATAGTGAAGACATCAAAACTATGAAATAACACATATGGAATCATGTAGTAACCAAAAAAGTCTTAAACAAATCAACATGTATTTTATATTTGAGATTCCTCAAATAGCCACCCTTTGCCTTGATGACAGCTTTGCACACTCTTGGCATTCTCTCAACCAGCTTGGCATTCTCTCAACCAGCTTCATGAGGTAGTCACCTGGAATGCATTTAAATTAACAGGTGTCCCTTCTTAAAAGTTAATTTGTGGAATTTCTTTCCTTCTTAATGCGTTTCAGCCAATCAGTTGTGTTGTGACAAGGTGGGTGGGGGGGGGGGGGGTTATACAGAAGACAGCACTATTTGGTAAGAAATAATTATGGCAAGAACAGCTCATATAAGCAAAGAGAAACGACAGTCCATCATTACTTTAAGACATGAAGGTCAGTCAATACGGAACATTTCAAGAACTTTGAAAGTTTCTTCAAGTGCAGTCACAAAAAACATCAAGCGCTATGATGAAACTGGCTCTTATGAGGACCGCCACAGGAATGGAAGACCCAGAGTTACCTCTGCTGCAGAGGATAAGTTCATTAGAGTTACCAGCCTCAGAAATTGCAGCCCAAATAAATGCTTCACAGAGTTCAAGTAACAGACACATCTCAACATCAACTATTCAGAGGAGACTGTGTGAATCAGGCCTTCATGGTCGAATTGCTGCAAAGAAACCACTACTAAAGGACACCAATAAGAAGAAGAGACTTGTTTGGGCCATGAAACACGAGCAATGGACATTAGACCGCTGGAAATCTTTCCTTTGGTCTGGTGTCCAAATTGGAGATTTTTTGTTCAAACCACCGTATCTTTGTGAGAACGGTGTGCGGGAACGGATGATCTCTGCATGTATATTTCCCACCGTAAAGCATGGAGGTGGAGGTGTTATGGTGTGGGGGTGCTTTTCTGGTGACACTGTCTGTGATTTATTTAGAATTCAAGGCACACTTAACCAGCATGGCTACCACAGCATTCTGCAGCGATACGCCATCCCATCTGGTTTGGGCTTAGTGGGAATATCATTTGTTTTTCAACAGGACAATCACCCAACACACCTTCAGGCTGTGTAAGGGATATTTTACCAAAAAGGAGAGTGATGGAGTGCTGCATCAGATGACCTGGCCTCCACAATCCCCCGACCTCAACCCAATTGAGATGGTTTGGGATGAGTCGGACCGCAGAGTGAAGGAAAAGCAGCCAACAAGTGCTCAGCATTTGTGGGAACTCCTTCAAGACTGTGGGAAAAGCATTCCAGGTGAAGCTGGTTGAGAGAATGCCAAGAGTGTGCAAAGCTGTCATCAAGGCACAGGGTGGCTATTTGAAGAATCTCAAATATAAAATATATTTTGATTTGTTTAACACTTTTTTGGTTACTACATGATTCCATATGTGTTATTTCATAGTTTTGATGTCTTCACTATTATTCTACAATGTAAAAAATTGTAGAAATAAAGAAAAACCCTTGAATGAGTAGGTGTTTCCAAACTTTTGACTGGTAGTGTACATTTCTGTAATGTGCACTTATCTAAATTATGAACACATTTCTGTAAACTCAGTTTAAAAACTATTTCAAAAACACCTGGTACTTTTGGCTACTTTCCCCAACACACTACATTTCTGATATTTCCACATCTGAGATGATAGTAATAAATAGGTCACAGTGTCCTTGGATTTCTTTTACTTTAACATTTCAAACAATATTCCTCCCCAGTTTGTCATGAAAGCGAGCGTCTCCCTCCTCAGACATGCTGTGTGTAAAACAAAGTCACTAGTCTGGTGGTGCTGGAGCTATTTCAGGGCCACAGAGGAGAGGCTGAGGAAAGACTGAGAGGAGGAAAGCCTCTGTTCACTCAAAGTAACGGTGGTTTAGAGTGTTAACAGTGCTGAGCTCTCACATTCAGCATTCCTCAGTGTTTCAAGTGCTCTCTTTCTCTCTGTGAGAACCTGGCTCACACAAACACGCACGCACACACACACACACACAGAGACACACAGGGAAACACAGACACACACGCACAGCAGACTGCAGCTTGCTACCTCTTTCACCGCCAAACTGCAAGGCTTCTGAGTTTTCCATCTGGGACAATAGGGGATATTTATGGACTACAATGCATCACTGTCTGCTTAATGAAACATTGATATGTGAGAGGAAACCTATTGGCTGCATAAAGAGCTGACTGTAATAGAACTCTAGTGTAGCACAACACAGGGAGGCACACACCTGGAGTGGGACGCAGCATCACTGAGGGTGTAGGAGCCACTGTCCGGGGCTGGGGGGAACACAGGGGGGCTCTGGGCTGGGTCCTCGCTGCTTCCTGGGGGTCCGGGGGAGTCTGGGGCTGAAGGAGAGGTCTCTGGGGCCCGCCGCTCTTTGGCCCTGGAGCCCCCGGACCCTGAGGCCCCGTAAGAGGTAGCGTCGATGCCGCTGTCTGTGGACGCCCCCTGCAGGTAGCTGTTAAGCTCTGAGTCAGGCCGCACCCCCGTCCTGCTGGAGCCAATCTCATACCACTTCTCATCACTGTGGGTGGAGCTGGAGGCGTTACTGGACAGTGTGTTACTGCCTGATTGGCTGGAGGAGTAGGAAGCTTCCACCTGTAGAGACAGAGACCATACAGTCACTTCCTGGTTGTTTGACCACAGTAAATAAAGACTACTTTAACATAGACAACAATCATTGCCAAGCTAGCTATATTCCTATGTCTATCCACTACAGCCTCTTCACTAAACCTTAAAATACATATTTGGTCATATCTGAGCCTGCTACCTGACCTTGATGTTCTTGTTGGGGGAAAGGTGTCCCCCCTGCTCCTGTAGACGAGGTACTGCAGCCTTGGAGACAGCTGGGTCTGGGAGGGAAAGGAGCAAACAGAGGAATGAGACAACCAGATAACAAAATGAGTAACATAGAGAGGTAGTCCTGTCTCTGACTCTCATCCTCTGCATCACCCAAAACACCAGACATGACATGGGCATTTTCTAAAGCATGTCCTCTTACCTGTTGTGGCTCTCTCGGCTCCCCTGTTGGCCCCCTCCCCCTCTCGGGGCCATCCGGGGGCAGGCTTAGTCCCGTTAGCCACTTCTCCAACTCCCTGACGCTCAGCAGACACAGGGGAGTGACGGTTATTGTTGTTAAACCTGGAAAAGAGATGGAAGAAGAGGGCATTATGTCTAGCTGCATCATTTACTGAACAAAACAGGAGTAGTTTAAGTCTTGGAGAGTACAACATATCAGTCATTACAACATATCATTATATTTGAGTCATTTCCTTTCTGTTGTTGGATAACTCCCGAAGTAGTCATTAAAGTAAATGCAGACTACATCTGGAAATAAAGCAATTAAAGCGAAACCCTGCAGCGAATTTGGGTCTGTGTATGATCTGGGTATGGTCTGAATGTAGCCTTAGATTGGCCCAGGTTTGTTCCGGGCTGAGTAACCTCTCACCCGTCTGGCATGGACTTCTGTCTGCAGTGGTTGGAGCTTGCACTCCCGGTGTCTGTGTAGGAGAGACTGTTGGGGGAGTTGCTGGTGTGTGGAGAGCGGCCCATCACGATGGAACAGGCCAGGGCATAGTTATCATTCCCTGGGGAATACCTGAGGGAGGGATCCATACCAACACACATATGGAGTTATCGTTTAGGTTATTTCAATATGTTGAATGACAGAAAGAAAGGAAGCATAACGATTCCACCACTAGTGCTGAGCAATTAACCGAAATGTAAAGGAAAACTATATTTTGGTATTTGTTTCATTAGTCCATTGTTGATATAGTCCCAAAATGTTTTGCATGTCAGCAATCATACCGGCTGTATTTCTGTATTTTGAAATGTATATATCTTGAAAACTTGATTGCTGACATGCAAAACATTTTGGGACTATATGTCAACAATGGACTAATGAAACAAATACCAAAATATAGTTTTTGGGTGGAATTTTCCTTTAAGCGCAGAAAACGTGGTAATTAACTACAATGACTAGCATCCATTGAGCCTACAGCTGCCTGTTCTCATTGGTTCTTGCCGGGCAAGTCTGTTGGGCCGGCAGACAGACAGACACTGAGAGGAAGAGCGATAGAGACACCAGAGGGATAGAGAGTGGTTGTTAGCTACACTATATATACAAAAGTATGTGGACACCCCTTCAAATTAGTGGATTTGGCAATTTCAGCCACACCCGTTGCTGACAGGTGTATAAAATCGAGCACACAGCCATGCAATCTCCATAGACAAACATTGGCAGTAGAATGGCCTTACTGAAGAGCTCAGTGACTTTCAATGTGGCACCATCATAGGATGCCACCTTTCCAACAAGTCAGTCAAATTTCTGACCTGCTAGAGATGCACAGGTCAACTATAAGTGCTGTTATTGTGAAATGGAAACATCTAGGAGCAACAACGGCTCAGCCACGAAGTGGTAGGCCACACAAGCTCACAGAACGGGACCGGCGAGTGCTGAAGCGCATAGCGCATAAAAATGGTCTGTCCTCGGTTGCAACACTCACTACCTAGTTCCAAACTGCCTCTGGAAGCAACGTCAGCACAATAACTGTTCGTCGGGAGCTTCATAAAATGGGTTTCATGGCCGAGCAGCTGTACACAAGCCTAAGATCACCATGCGCAATTCCAAGTGTTGGCTCGAGTGGTGTAAAGCTCGCCGCCATTGGACTCTGGAGCAGTGGAAACGCGTTCTCTGGAGTGATGAATCACGCTTCACCATCTGGCAGTCTGATGGACAAATCTGAGTTTGGCGGATGCCAGGAGAACACTACCTGCCCCAATGCATAGTTACAACTGTAAAGTTTGTTGGAGGAGGAATAATGGTCTGGGGCTGTTTTTCATGGTTCTGGCTAGGCCCCTTAGTTCCAGTGAAGGGAAAACTTAACGCTACAGCACACAATGACATTCTAGACAATTCTGTGCTTCCAACTTTGTGGCAACCGTTTGGGGAAGGCCCTTTCCTGTTTCATGACAATGCCCCCGTGCACAAAGCGAGGTCCATACAGAAATGGTTTATCGAGATCGGTGTGGAAGAACTTGACTGGCCTGCACAGAGTCCTGACCTCAACCCCATCAAACACCTTTGGGATGAATTGGAACGTCGACTGCGAGTCAGGCCTAATCGCCCAACATCAGTGCCCGACCTCACTAATGCTCTTGTGGCTGAATGGAAGCAAGTCCCCGCAGCAATGTTCCAACATATAGTGGAAAGCCTTCCCAGAAGTGTGGAGGCTGTTATAGCAGCAAAGGGGAGACCAACTCCATACTAATGCCCATGATTTTGGAATGAGATGTTTGACGAGCATGTATCCACAAACTTTTGGTCATGTAGTGTAGTTGTTATTTAGCGGCCTTAAAAGTATGGCTTGTCTACTTTGAAGAACTACTGAAATAGTGATTTTGTCAGACAACAGACAGCTAGCCAGCTAGACTAGCCTAGTAGCCTGAAGGATGTCTCTTTGGGGAGCACAGAGACACATGGCTGGCTGGTTGCTACTGTCTGAGCAGATATGAGAAGATGACTTGGAATTAAATAGTAAGTCATCAAACACATTATAATTTCTTTTAAGTAAAGCAATGTTAATAAAGTATGGTTAATTAATAAGTGATATGCAGTAATGAGCAGTCACTACCTTCATTGGGGTTTTATTAATTTAATAATAAAGTCATAATTATACTAAAAACAAATATGTAGTACACACAACCAAAATATATTATTTAAGTAAAGTAATATGAATAAATGATGGTTAGAGACTCATAAGTGAAAGTAATGGGCAGTCACTACTATCAATTGTTTTATTCTGTGTTGTTATAGTATTGAACCCACATAATGCATTTATTGTTCCAAAAAAATTGAAACCGAAATTGAAAATTTGATTATTTTTCAAAAACCTAACCGAAACCGAACCAACCTCAAAAAGCACTAATCGCTCAGCACTATCCACCACTAAGCTTAAAGCTTGTACACCTTCCCTCCTATTTATCATATCAATAGCTGGGGTGGCTCTCTTACCTTTTGGGGTTGAGAGGGCGCCCGTCGCTGGACACACTGCGAGGGATGACTCCGGCACAGTCTTGGTAGTCTGAAGCCGGGGCCTTGATGAGCGTCCCCCCCAGGGCCCCTGTGGTGCGGCTCTGGGTGCTGGAGGAGGTGCGGGGCCACTTATTGTTGTTGTTGCTGCGGAAGGGGAATTTAAACTCATAGGGCATCCCCTCCTTGTGGTTCTTATAGTCCACCAGGGGCATGTGGTACAGCTCTGAACAGCCTCTGTGAGAGGAAACAGAAATATACACTAAAAACACTGCAATGCTGCCCAAGTACCCAAATGCATGCTACTGATATGACTGATGGAGGGGCATATCTGTTGATGATAGATGATTGGCTGTCTATGAGCTGTACCTGCGAGGGGTGGAGTCCTCGTGCGGGGGGATGATGACCACCTTGACGGTGACAGAGGTCCTCAGCAGGTCAATCATCTGCTCGTGGGACAGCGATGCCACGGCCACCTTACAGATCTCTACCAGCCTGCTGCCCTGGCGCAGCCCTGCCTGCCAGGCGTACCCATAGGGCTCGACCTCCGCTACGATGCCCTCAAAGTTCACATGGAAGCCCAGCTGGCCCAGACCGTTCCTCCTCAGGATCATCTCTGTGGTCTGGCTGCCCTTCGTCAGAAGCTAGGGACAGACAGGAGAGGAGGTTGGTAGAGCATGGCGCTTGCAACGCCAGGGTTGTGGGTTCGTTTCCCACGGGGGGCAAGTATGAAAATGTATGCACTCACTAACTGTAAGTCGCTCTGGATAAGAGCATCTGCTAAATGACTAAAATGTAAACATGTAAAATGAGGAGGAGGAGGAGACAGGAGGGGTAGGAGGAAGAGGTGGATAAGTGAGGAAAGAGTTTTTACTACAAAGCATAAGAATCCTCTAAATCAAAAGACAGACAATGTTGGCTGAAGTCTGAATCTTTTAATCTTAACTATTCTGTTGGCTGCTACTGTAAAGCACACCATATAACCCCAAATGTGCCCCATGGCAAAGATCTGATACACATGCCAGGCACAGACACACGCCAGCACAGATTGAATCTATCATCAGCGGATGCAGCACCCTTCAATTAAAGTGTTTGTGTACAGGGGTGAGTGTTTAAGGAGACACTGGTAGTAACCCTGCCTGGCCCTTCTGAACCAGTGTCAGGTGAAAAGAGTTTGTAACATAATACTTAACATAGAGCTCCAGGCAACCACAACAGAGCCAGAGCAGGATGTTATGCTACAACGCTGATGATGCCTCTGCTTTCCCACAAGAAAGGGTATGGCTTGAACACACACACTAACTAAACACAAACATGAAATAAGCCTTAGCAAACAGCGTTAATCTTTCATTGAAGACAACTGGCATTGCCTAATCTCATGTGAATGATTACACTACCTCTCCAAATAAGGTCACACTGGCTATTTCACCACAATGCTGAGTGCTATACCGTATCTCCTTTGAACATAATGGATAGTCAGAGGTGGAGATTAGAGATGTATTCATTATAACACATTTGTTAGTGATTAAAATATCTTATCTGGCTTGACTAACTGTGCTGCTACTGACCTCCAGGCGTTTGACCACCTCTCCAAAGTCCTCCGTGTTGTTGTTGATGGAGCGCAGCGACACGCTCTCCCCACGCTCATAGTAGATCTTCATGGAGGCGTGGCTGCCCGAGGACCAGCCAATGACGTCGCGCGTGGCGCAGTTGAAGACCACGGCCTTGGCTTCCTGGTCCAATAGGATGAGGAAGTCATTGGAGATGGCCAGTAGACACTCCCTCTCTGCCCCGGCTACCTGGTCCTCTGCATGCACCGGCCATGTCACCGCCCCCAGGCTCCGTAGCTCCGCCCCGCTGTATGGCCGCACCCTCTCTCTGCGCTTGTGAGCCAATGAGATGAAGGGGAATTTCCCTGTGGGCTCCACCGGCGTGCCGGTCACGTGACGTTCTGCCAGGTCCCGCAGGTACTCCTGTCGTGTGCGTGTCGCCATGGCACCGAACTTCTCAGACTTGTGGGCGGCGTTCTCGGCGTTGATAACCTTGGCCAGCAGGAAGTCCCTGAAGACGCTGGACTTGGGGAAGGTCACGCCCTTGGGGATAGGGGGGCCAAAGGAGGGCACGTCCCTGGAACGAGTCACAGCCACGCTGGAGAGAGAGAGAGAGAGAGAGAGAGAGAGAGAGAGAGAGAGAGAGAGAGAGAGAGAGAGAGAGAGAGAGAGAGAGAGAGAGAGAGAGAGATCACTAATTAGTAAGAACAGAGGGAGGGAGTCCTCCACCCAATCTCAATGGATCTCCAGGGCACTAGATCTGAGAGAATTGGATAGGAGTAAGCAAGATGGCAAGGTGTAGCTTTTACTATATTTCTCATACCTATCCTCTCAGGGAGAACATGACAGAAATTAATTTGGTTTGGTGACACTGGGCCTAGAGTGCAGAAAACAGTAGAATAGGCTGGGAAAGAAGAGGAGTGACATCCTTATAGAGTTTTCCCTTGGCTATTGTTCCATTTCGCGCGAGTCTTCCTAAAGGAGGGCGTGAGTCTACCTAAAGGAGGGCGTGAGTCTTCCTAAAGGAGGGTGTGAGTCTTCCTAAAGGAGGGCGTGAATCTTCCTAAAGGAGGGAGTGAGTCTTCCTAAAGGAGGGCGTGAGTCTTCCTAAAGGAGGGGGTGAGTCTTCCTAAAGGAGGGGGTGAGTCTTCCTAAAGGAGGGGGTGAATCTTCCTAAAGGAGGGCGTGAGTCTTCCTAAAGGAGGGCGTGAGTCTTCCTAAAGGAGGGCGTGAGTCTCCATAAAGGAGGGGGTGAGTCTTCCTAAAGGAGGGCGTGAGTCTTCCTTAAGGAGGGGGTGAGTCTTCCTAAAGGAGGGGGTGAGTCTTCCTAAAGGAGGGCGTGAGTCTTCCTAAAGGAGGGCGTGAGTCTTCCTAAAGGAGGGGGTGAGTCTTCCTAAAGGAGGGCGTGAGTCTTCCTATGGGCAAGGCTCTCCTTAGGTTACCTACTACTCTTCCCAGTCAACTACCATTGTTGCTCCACAATAGGCCTCCTAGAGTTGAATTACTATTCATTAGTCATGAAGTAGACCTGGATATGAAACACTGTCTCATTTCCATTGTTAACCACCTGATTTCCCATACACACACTGACAATACATCAGTCTTTGGCAGGCTACACGGCAGGTTTCTTTTCTACTCACAACACAATGAGACAAGTTAGCATGAAAGCTAACCTAGTTCTGATGCAGATAATTGGCAATGATTGGCTTCCAAATCAATACATAACCCAACAATGGTGAGGTAAGGCTGAACAGCAGCACTATAGAAACCCACTGCAGGCCAGGCTCGGGTAGGCTGATGTCAGAGTCATGACAAGCCTCAGTCCATTAAACAGATAACATAATGATCGCATGTGACATTACAGCCCAAGCCTCGCTAAACCAGGCAGGCGTATATAAATATACATTCAGCACATCTGACAAGCCAGCTACCACTGAGACGGCCACTCTCAGTCAGCCCCAGATCACAGGGAAGAGGAGTGGAGTGGAGGAGGCTACTCCCAATTTTTCTAAACAAAGCTCTGTTCGTTATGCAATATGGATGAGTTAATCATCTGTGTTTGGACAGCAGTTGATAGCACAAGATTATGACCAGGCTCTATCACTAGGCTGTATCACTAGGCTGTATCACTAGGCTGTATCACTAGGCTGTATCACTAGGCTGTATCACTAGGCTCTATCACTAGGCTGTATCACTAGGCTGTATCACTAGGCTCTATCACTAGCCTGTATCACTAGGCTGTATCACTAGGCTCTATCACTAGGCTGTATCACTAGGCTGTATCACTAGGCTGTATCACTAGGCTGTATCACTAGGCTGTATCACTAGGCTGTATCACTAGGCTCTATCACTAGCCTGTATCACTAGGCTGTATCACTAGGCTCTATCACTAGGCTGTATCACTAGGCTGTATCACTAGGCTGTATCACTAGGCTGTATCACTAGGCTGTATCACTAGGCTGTATCACTAGGCTCTATCACTAGCCTGTATCACTAGGCTGTATCACTAGGCTCTATCACTAGGCTGTATCACTAGGCTGTATCACTAGGCTGTATCACTAGGCTGTATCACTAGGCTGTATCACTAGGCTCTATCACTAGGCTGTATCACTAGGCTGTATCACTAGGCTGTATCACTAGGCTGTATCACTAGGCTCTATCACTAGCCTGTATCACTAGAATGTATCACTAGGCTCTATCACTAGGCTGTATCACTAGGCTGTATCACTAGGCTGTATCACTAGGCTGTATCACTAGGCTCTATCACTAGGCTCTATCACTAGGCTGTATCACTAGGCTGTATCACTAGGCTGTATCACTAGGCTGTATCACTAGGCTCTATCACTAGCCTGTATCACTAGGCTGTATCACTAGGCTGTTTCACTAGGCTGTATCACTAGGCTGTATCACTAGGCTCTATCACTAGCCTGTATCACTAGGCTGTATCACTAGGCTGTATCACTAGGCTGTATCACTAGGCTGTATCACTAGGCTGTATCACTAGGCTCTATCACTAGGCTGTATCACTAGGCTGTTTCACTAGGCTGGCCACGGGCCAACTACTGCTCCAATAGTAATTTTGGGCTGAAGATCACTGATGCATTAGTCTAAACCTCCTGCTTTAACTGTGTGTGAACAGGATACAGAGCCAGTCACACACTAAATACTGATCAAGATTTAAAGGTACTGTAGCTACTGTATAATCTGATAAATCAAAATGCAACCATAATGTAAGACAAAAAAAATAATCAAATAAAACATTGGCAAAAAGTACATGTATATTGAACTACGAGATAAATCACAGTAATGCAGGTGTGTGTGTGTGTGTGTTTGTGTGTGTTTGTGAACATGCTGAAACCCCAGTTTCCACTGACCCCCTCTTTTTCACACAGGTCATCAGCATCACACCTCAGATCACTACCAAACACACACACACACACACACACACACACACACCCCAGACCCACCTGCTCCTGGTCCAGCGTCTAACCCTTATGGTTCCCAGTTCGTCATCCGTAGTGCCTCTACTCACTCCTGACTGGGCTGGGCATTACAATAATAAGTATCCTTGAAGTGAATCCTCCTCTCCTGTCTGCTTGGTCTGATCACACTACTGCAGGTACACACAGCTTTCTCCAGCTAATTATAGCTGCTCTCGCTGCCGTCCAACCGTTGTTCTGTTTCTAGATCTTGTGTGTTTCTTACCCCTCTTTGAAATGGCATCCCAGGCTCCAAGCAAATCAGTCTCCTAGCGAATCAGCTCGTTGGTGGCAGAACAGAACAGAGTGGGTTTGGAACTTGTAGTATGTTCATTAGATTCATGGGATTGAGCTAGAAGCTGGAAGCTGAGAGCTGCTCTGGGTGGAGTGGAGTCTCCACTGCTTCAGGGTCCCGCTCTCCATTTAATCCAAGAGGAAAACCAGGCAAACCAGCATTTCTCCATCTCAGCCTCTTCTCCTCGATGACACTTGTTGGCTTTGAATCAAAAGATGTCCCCTTTAAAAAAGAATAACTCCAGCTGAGGAGGGCATCCAATCTTTAGCAGGCAGCGCTGGTGGGGCAGGGAGTAGAGGGGCTGGAGAGGGGAGGGTTCAGAATAAATTAGCCCAACCTTTATGAGGTTTGAGCTCAGACCCAGAGCCAGTACAAGTGTTCCCGTGGAGGGTCTGTGAGCACTGAGGGACAGAGCACTGCTCGGCTGCTCAAGAATCCTCTGATTCGCTTGTACAGCAAGGGAATCCTTGATGTGTATGCCGCTAACTCTTTCGGATCGCTCCGACTCCATTGCTCCAAGGCAGTGTGACAGGCAGAAGGGTTGAGTGAGTGAGTATGTGTGTGTGCGTAGTAGGGGGGTGAGATGGGGGTGAGCGCGTGTGTGAGAATGCCACAGAGCTCCACGATCACAGGGGGTAGGGAGAACAGTAGAGTAGGGCCCCATCCCAACAGCTAGACAGCTGCAGGGGTGATCTCTCCTAGTCAACCACAATCAAACAAATGTATACACTGCCTACAGTACCCTAGCTACAGAGAGAGAGAGAGGAGAGGAGAGTAGGGATATTAGTTACACAATACATTTTATCTGGGTTTGTGACCATGCCTTCCAGTGGTTCTCTTCCTCTTTATGTTATCTACCTGCATGAGTTGTTCAGAACAACCACTGTTGTAGCACCAGGGGTTTCCAGGTTGTTTTGTGACCGCCAGGTCCTCTAGTAGTCAATAGTGGTCTGACCGCGCTCTCACCGCGGTCCACACTCACCTGTAGCAGGTGTTGTCGGAGCAGGGGCTGTAAACACGGACGATGATGAACACGTGTTGGAAGTGGGAGAAGATGGTCTTGGGGGTGAAGGGGAGGGCTCCCGGCTCCTGGAACACTATGGTGACGATGTCGTTCCCAATGTGTCTCTTTCTCAGCAACTACAACACAGAATTACAGAATCTCAATTACAAAATCTCAATGAATATCCTATTCTTCTTGAATTAAACTTGATTAATCATTTAATCCATCTATGACATAACGTGTTATCCAAATGCATGTCATTTTCATTTTCATTTCCTTATGTGATATCAGAGCCCTTCCGTACCTGTTGTTTGTTGTTGGGTGTGTAGGGCAGCAGAGTAGACACATGGAACATGATCTCATAGTCCCTGTAGGCCGTGTACAGGGAGTGGGTGCCAGTGGAATCAGCTGGAGGAAGAGAGAGGAGCGCCACAATGTAAGGCCCCATTGTACTGCTACTGCAACCCAACTCTGTCCTCCAGCAGCAACCTATCTGTTCTGTGTTTTATGTACTAGGTCAGGGTTCCCCAACTCACGGCCTATGTGCCGAATTTGGCCCGCAGGTGATATTATTTGGCCCACCAAGTTTTCCAAGAAAAAATATATATAATATATTTTTTATTTTATTTTATTGGGATATAAAAAACTGTAGAAACACCAGGAAATCAGCTCCAAGTGATTTTCATTTTGGAAATCTGTTGCAAAGTATTCCCATGCATAATAGAGAGATATGTGATTGTATACAAATGTAGGAAAGGTTTGAAATGATTATGTTTTAGTGAAATATTATATCTGTTTGGGCTTCTTGCGGTCAATTTGCAGTCTAAAAATTATTTGGCATTATGTTCCGGCCCCCTGACCATCCACTCGAGAGAAAAAAATTGTCCCGCGGCTGAACCTAGTTGATGATCCCTGTACTAGACTGTCTCCTGTTACATAGCACAAACAACAAGCCATGATAGTGTAGTCTGATCAATGTCTGCCGGGATAGTGTGACAGGAAAACAACAACAAATAATTGTTGAGAGGGTTGAGCCCTCTCAATACTATTGTTGCCCCATGCGGGCCGGGGAAAACGGCTTTTACATGTAACTATATTAAAGATATAGCACAGCCTCTTGTGCATTACTGCAGGCATTGTAAGGAGTGGACAATTATGCCATAACCCTACCAGTCTACCATAACCCTAGGAGCAAAGTTTCTTGTGATTTGGTTCTGGGTGCCCAGATTACCCAGGCAGCCACCACAATCAAAATGTATGGACAAAAGAAGAATGTTCATATTCATTGAGCTTACGGATAGAGGAAGTGCCAAAAATTGCCAAATGTAATTAAGTGCATGATTGGGATGAGCTGCCATTTCCTGCTCTGCTCTCATAAGGAACATAAAGGATGTAGTGGAGTGTGTGGCCAGCCATAGTGGACCTGATTTAGTCCTCAATACACCGGAGACAGAAGGAGGGAGGGAGGGCTAGGGGTATGAGAAAGGGTTGGTCAGAGGAACAGGTATAGTGGAGTGATAAGACAAGCAAGAGGAAATGAGGGGTTACAAGACAGATTTTAAAAACAGGCTACATGAAGTAAATGGGACTATACATAACACATGTGAGAGACAGGAGAGGAAAAGCTCTCTAGTTTACAGAGATTACCCCAAACCTGTAGTTGCTAACATGCAAGGCAGAGCAGAGCCCCACCTACAGCAAAGATTAAGCAGATTCTACAGAAGGACTCATAATTCATGCTGTGAGACCTGGGGTGAGGAGGTCAGAGAGAGGGTCAGAGAGGTTCCCACACAGGAGCCTGTCACGCTGCATCCTTGGTCAAATAAAAAGACCAATCACAGTTTTAAACGTCTTTGCTGTGTGTGTGTGTGTGTGTGTGTGTGTGTGTGTGTGTGTGTGTGTGTGTGTGTGAGTGTGTGTGTGCTTTTGTGTGTGAGCGTACTCTTGGTGTCGAGCTGGGCGCGGTACTTGGTAAAGCCTTTGAGGCGGACTCTCTCCCCCAGCAGCTGCAGGAACTCCTCCAGGGCAGGGCCCGCCATTTCATTGTTGTACATCTCCTCCTCACTGCTCTGCCCCGCCTTGCAGTACATCACCCCCACCTTCACCTGGAAACTCAGCTAGAGAGGAGGATGGGGGGGTAGGGGGAGAGAGAGAGATTTAATGTTAAGACATTTTTGTAGTGCAAAAACTATAGAATAGATCAGACTAGTCTCATTTTATAGCATGATATAGCGCCAATAGTAGAGCCAACCAAAGGTCTGTTACCAATGAAATATGATCTGGCCCAATAACAACATACAGGTGTAGCATGACTCAGGCCTATTCAGGGAGTATTTTTATGTAATGTGAGTGTGTATCCTCCTACCCCCTGTTCATCCAGTTTCATCAGCTGTTCTGTGACCTTGGGCGTGTTAAGGGCCAGGCGGAGGCAGGGCACATCCAGCTCTGGAAGCAGGTACTCCAACACCTCCTTCAGGGGCAGCCCGCGGGTAGTGCCATGCTTAGAGGACGAGGGGACCACATCCTCCAGAATAGACCCCCGGAGCGTGGTCAACTAGATGGAGGGATGGAAAGGAGGAGAGGAAGAGAGAGAAGTGTAAGTGGAGGAATGTGCCTCAGGAATCCCCAGTTCATGGAACTTTATTTTCAAGATGGAACAAAATGTTTAAGATGGAACAAAATGAACATGTCGGTTCTGCTTCCCAAACACCATAACGTCTCCTGAGTAAGTTTATAACTATTTAGCTAAAAGAATCTGACATAAATCAACAGAAAAGAACAAGGCTCAGTTATGAATCAAACTTTTGGCCTGGGGGAAGTAGAAAGAGGAGGGTGGAGTGGGGTTTTTTCAGTGAAGCATAATGTGTACACAGAGTGTGCATTGTGTTCAGCAGTGGCAGTGAACTCAATCACTCTGCTATCATATGCAGCTGGAAAGGAGGGGAACTTTCTCTCCCACACCCCTCGGAGAGGACCCTAACAAACGTCCAGTGTTCCCCAGGTTTGGGGCCCTGGGGGCCCGGGATGTCTCACACTGAGCTGGAGGGTCTAATCACACACACCTGTCCACCTTCCAACCCAGAAAAAAAAAACCAGACAACCATCTCTGAACACTCCAAGGCAGGTGTCTTAAATCTATAGCTGGGAAGGAAATGGTGCTGTTTCGCAGTCACTCCATAACCAAAATCATAGCCATGATTTTCCAGTGAAATGTAAAAGAAGAGTTCTCTATCGTGGTTTGAGGTTGTGTAGCATTGACAGGCCGTGGAGTTGTGTGGAGGATGAGAGCGTTTCCTATAGTTTCTATACACAGAGCTGATCTGAGAGGACAGCTGATGGCCCTCTGGGCTTCTTACATAATGTGAACCTACCAGGCAGACAGAGATAGGGGAGAGGGACTACAGAAAAACTAATCTACAGACAATCAACGTGACAGGATTTTAAAACAACAGAAATCTCTATCTATCTAGCAGGGGTCATTAACTGCTAAGGCACGTGTCAAACTCATTCCACGGAGGGCCGAGTGTCTGTGGGTTTTTGCTCCACCCTTGTACTTGATTGATGAATTAAGGTCACTAATTAGTAAGGAACTCCCCTCACCTGGTTGTCTAGGTCTTAAACAAAAACCTGCAGACACTCGGCCCTCCGTGAAATTAGTTTGACACCCCTGTGCTAAGGGAATCTTTGACCATGTAATAAGTGACATGATCCAGGGAGAGCGGTTGTAACATCAGTTGGCTAGCTGTCTGACCTCTGAGGTTCTGAAGATGACCCGGTAGTTGTACTGCTGGCCGTGCTCTTTGTGCTCCTCCTCCTTCTCCCTGCGCACACTCACAGCCACCGGACCCAGAGCCTCATCCATCCCAAAGTAGTTCCAGTGCTCTGAGGGAGAGAGAGAGCGAGAGCGAGAGCGAGAGAGAGAGAGCGAGAGCGAGAGCGAGAGCGAGAGCGAGAGCGAGAGAGAGAGAGAGAGAGAGAGAGAGAGAGAGAGAGAGAGAGAGAGGTAAAGATAAATAAAATAACCTTCCCAACTAATTTATGTATAAACATACACTTGAATTTGGTAACTGTATTACACGATGGGCTGTGTAGGACTGTTTGTTTATGTTTTACATTCTAGTGTTATAGTTCTTTATGTACTGTATAATGTTTGTAACTGAATAAGTTTGAGAGGATTCATTGTGTATGTTCTGCATCATGTATGTTCTCACCTCTAAGGTAGAAGAACTTCCTGTAATAGTAGGCTCCCAGGTCCACGTGCTCTACGATGTAGTGTTTGCCCCGATCACTGAGGGCACTGGGGTTGTCCTTGGGCCCCTCCAGCACTGCCACCCCAGCGTTAGTGCAGTGGGAGCTGAGGGATGACTCAAACAGGCTGCCCTCGCCTCCCAGTGTCCCTGAGCCCCCACTCCCCTGTCTGGGGGGACCGCCCCCTGCCCTGCGCCTGCAGTTGGCCCCAATCTCGTTGCAGAAGCAGGGGCAGTTGAGGAGCAGCTCGTTGCTCTGCTCATCCCCGGAGTCCATGCTGGGGCAGTCCCTGGCCCTGGCGCTGAGCTCCTCCTGACTGCCAGTTGGGGAGCTGTAGGCCAGGCTGTGGGTGGAGGACACGGTGGAGGTGGTGGAGGCTGCAGCCGCAGCAGACGCCCCCGTGGAGGTGTTCTTCCTCTTCACTGCCGCCGTCTGCCTGCTCTGGATCACCTTGTTCAGGTTAAACATCATGCTCTGCACGTCGTAGTGGGAGAAGCCCCTCTGGCAGACCCAGGGCTTGAGGGGGGTGACCCCATCCTCTGACCGACCTTCCTCAGCATCAGAACCGGCCCGGGGCGAGTCAGACTCCCCCCTCACGCTGCGTAGCTTCCGGAATATAGACTCGCCCCCCGTCTCTGACTTGGAGCGTCTCTTTGGGGGCTTCTCTCTCTCCTTGACTCTGCTGGATGCCTGGCTCTCACTAGTCTCCTCATGTAGTTCTATGGAGGCCTGCTTGAGTCCAGCAGTCAGCAGGTCTTCTAGTCTGTCTGGGGCAGGGCTGCGCTGGTCAGGCTTCTCTCCCTGGTAGCCCTTCAGCATCTCAAAGAAGCTCTCCCCTGACGCCCCATGCTGGTCTATAGAGGAGGTACTGCCATACTCTCTGTGTAGAGGGGACCACTTGGCCCCTGAGGGGCCCAAGTCCTCCCCACTGTCCCCGCCACCGTCCAGCTCACTGATGGTGATGTCACTGTTGCTGCGCTGGCGGATGCGGCTGGTGTTCCTGTGGGATGGGACTCTGTAGTCTGCTGGGGACAGGTAGGTGCTGTCTGGGCTGTAGCTGGCCCCCTGGGTTTTACTCTTCAGTGTGTTCTGGATGTTGCGGAGCATGGAGGAGTCCTGGGGGTTCATTAGTTGACCTAGTTTCAGGTTGCTCTGCCCCCCTCCGGCCAGGCCTGGGGTGTCTGGCTCCATGGTAACTTGCCACAGAGTTCCCAAGTCCTTCCTCGGGGGCCATTCGGCAGCCCGTGCCCGCACCCCCATTTTGGGCACCCCCGGGCCCCCTGGAAGGTGGGCGCTGTCTGTGCGTGCCCCTCCGTTGGCCAGGCGAAGGTGGTGGGTGTAGAACTCGTCAGTGGCAGGGATAGAACCCCCAACGATGCGCTCCATGGGTGGGAGCTTCAGACTGGTCATGGTGCCAAGGCCGGGGCTGGTCCCCAGGGCACTCAGCAGCAGGGCATGGCTAGGCTGACTGTGGAGCTGGATGCTCAATGTTCAGGCCTTCATACTGCCCCTACAGCTAGGCTCTGTCTGTCTGCTAATCCACTGGGCTCTCATCTCTCATCTCGCTCCAACTGGCTCCAACCCTGAAATAAACAAAGGAGAGGTTTGGTATTAGAACGTACTGTAAACTCAATAATTGCACAGCCTCTCATTTCATATTGACACCAACTTTCTCTAACTAGGCGAAGAGAGGAAACAGTTGGGGAATGCACAGTAAGCTGACTGACTGGTGTTGAATAATACAAATTAAACCTATAGCGCTGGTCTGGTTAGGTAAACAATGACACTGTGACACAGGCTACCTGCCTGCTAATTGCCTGCTGTGTGCAGTGCTCTGTTACTGATGTGGCCTCTGCCATGCTCCTATGTTTTATAGCAGGCTAGCAGGCAGCACAGTGGAAAGTACTGGACTGAGTCTTATTACCTAGTCTCTCTTTGGGCCTTGAGGTGAGCAAGCTAATGTTCTCCATGTTGAATCATCTGGCTGTGTAGGAGTATGAAAATGGCTTCAGAACAAATCATTTCTCTCGAGGCATTTGCTAAATTATCTCTTTTTCAATTTCAGAGTTTTCCAGATGTGCTTTCTCCTGACATGTCCAGGGGGACATAGTCAGTCAGCTAGCTGCTTTTAGAAACTCCAGGACAGCATTACAAATGTGCCGACATTTCTATTCTACAGGATTGAAAGGGATATCTGGATTTCACAAACCTGCCTGCAAAGTCATATTTGGATGTGATTTTTGCCTCACGGCTTTCTGACTCAGTTAGAAGTCACTGACATGTTTAATTTCAGATAACAGCGCTAACCTTTTCAAACCAATTTCAGCATAAACATCTGGGGTGGAACATGACAGCTCAGCCAAATCCAAAAAGTTGTAATATATTTTCTCCAACCTGAGCAAAATGATGCCTTACACCTCATCATTAAATTCCTGAAATGAATTCCCAAAGTAGATTATTAGGTAATTCAATAAACCAATAGAAACATACTTATGTAATTACTTATAAGGTGTTACTGTCACGATTCTCTAAGACAGAACCCAGAAGCAGACCAGGACAAGGTGAGTTGAACGAAGGTGAGTGTTTATTTACAGATTCAAAAGATGCAGAATAATCCAGGAGACGGAGCGGGTGGCGGAGATGAGTAGGTGGAGGTGAAGTGGCAGATTAAATTATGGCACGGCAGGGGTTGGGTGAAGGTTCCGGGAGAATGATGTTAATGGCTAACGATCCGGCAGGGAATGGATGTCAGGTCAGAGCTTAAGAAGGGGTGATGATCAGGACCAGGTGTGCCGAGGCTGATGAGAAGCAGGTGCGGGTAATCGAGAGATCACCCGCCTAGCAACGTCGCCCGGCAACCGGACAGGGTGCGTTCAGGAACCAGGAGATACCGAGCAGAAAAACGGCAACACAGGCAGGAACAGACTCAGGACGCAGGGTTCATGACAGTACCCCCCCTCCGATGAACGCCACCGGGCGGACTACCCGGAGCGCCAGGATGGAGGCGGTAGAAGTCACGAAGGAGGTCAGCATCAAGGATCTGACGCCGAGGAATCCAACTCCTCTCCTCAGGACCATACCCCTCCCAGTCCACGAGATACTGGAAACCCCGGCCCCGCCGTCAGGAATCCATGATGCGGCGCACCGTGTTGACAGGACCTCCTCCGATCATCCGGGGAGGAGGCGGAGGGGGCAATAGAGGGCTGAGGAGAACAGGCTTGAGGCAGGAGACATGGAAGGCGTCCTAGGCAACTTGAGTCGAACCACAACCGGATTAATCACTCTCTCCACCACAAACGGACCAATGAACCTCGGCGACTGTTTCCTTGACTCAGTCCGCAGAGGAAGGTCCCGTGTAGCCAACCAGACCCTATCTCCGATGGCATAAGCGGGGGCTGGAATACGGCGACGATTCGCCTGGAGCTGATACCGGTCAGAAACTCGAAGGAGGGCCTTTCTGGCCCGATGCCAGGTCCGGTGGCAACGACGAATGTGGGCCTGGACAGAGGGAACCGAGAGATCCTTCTCCTGAGAAGGAAACAAGGGGGGTTGGTAGCCGTATAGGCACTGGAAGGGAGACATCCCAATGGCAGAAGTAGGGAGAGTATTGTGGGCATACTCAACCCAAGGCAACTGAGAGACCCAAGAGGTGGGGTTGGAGGAAACAAGGCAGCGCAGCGTGGATTCCATCTTCTGGTTGGTTCTCTCCGCCTGTCCATTGGATTGGGGGTGAAATCCAGATGTGAGACTGACTGTAGCTCCAATGGCCAAACAGAAGGACTTCCAGACAGCAGAGGTGAACTGAGGACCACGGTCGGAAACTATGTCACTGGGCAAACCGTGAACCCTGAAAACCTCCCTAACCAGGATCTTGGACGTCTCAGAGGCAGAGGGAAGCTTGGATATGGGCACAAAGTGGGCGAACTTGCTGAATCTGTCCACAATAGTCAGAATGACCATGTTCCCCTCAGAAGAGGGCAACCCAGTGACAAAGTCCAGGGCCAGATGCGACCATGGTCGCCGGGGGATAGGTAGGGGGTGAAGAAGTCCAGAGCTGGGCCGATTGGCACTCTTATTCTGCGCACAAACTGGACAGGCAGCAGCTAACCTCTGAGTATCTTCTCCCATGGCAGGCCACCAAAATCGTCTGCGTAGAAGCGCCATCGTCCGAGCCACGCCAGGGTGGCAAGCCATCTTGCTGGCGTGGGACCATTGGAGGACAGCCGAACGGACCGACTCAGGCACAAACAACCGACCGGGTGGACCGTTACCGGGGCCGGGCTGCGTCCGAAGGGCCGCCATAACCTCCTCCTCAATCCTCCACATAACGGCTCCTACGACATGGTTCCGGGGAAGAATCGTCTCAGTCTTGGCCCCACTCTCCTCCGTCTTGGAGAACATCCGGGACAAGGCGTCCGCCTTGCCATTCTTAGACCCCGGTCGGAACGTCAGGGAAAAATTAAAGCGTCCAAAAAACAACGACCACCTGGCCTGACGGGAGTTGAGACGTTTAGCCGATTGCACGTAAGCAAGATTATTGTGGTCAGTCCAGACAACAAACGGTTGCTCCGCCCCCTCCAACCAGTGGCGCCACTCCTCCAAGGCAAGTTTCACTGCGAGAAGCTCCCGGTTACCCACATCGTAGTTCCTCTCCGCAGATGAAAGACGACGAGAGTAGTAGGCGCAGGGATGGAGTTTACCGTCAGTGGAGCATCGCTGGGACAGGATGGCGCCAACCCCCACATCAGACGCATCCACCTCAACAACAAACTGACGGGCAGTGTCAGGTTGAGAGAGAATCGGAGCGTTGGTGAATCGCCTCTTCAAATCCAGAAATGCCCGGTCCGCCTCAGGATTCCAACTGAAGGTTCTGGTACTAGAAGTCAGGGCAGTTAAAGGAGCGGCCACACGGCTGTAGTCATGGATAAATCTACGATAGAAATTTGCAAACCCCAGAAACCTCTGGAGCTGCAATCTCGTACCGGGCTGGGCCCAATCCAGAACCGCCCTAACCTTCTCTTGGTCCATCCTAATCTCTCCCCTGGAGATGATGTACCCGAGGAAGGATGTAGTGTGGGCGTGAAATTCACACTTCTCGGCCTTCACAAACAGGCGATTCTCCAACAATCGCTGCAGAACCTGCTTGACATGCTGGACGTGGCTGGAAGGCTCCTTAGAGAAGATAAGAATGTCATCCAGGTAAACGAACACAAAAAGACCGATCATATCTCTCAGGACGTCATTCACCATACTCTGGAACACTGCTGGAGCATTGGTCAGTCCAAACGGCATCACCTGATACTCGAAATGACCCATCTGTGTATTGAAACCAGTCAACCACTCGTCACCCTCTCTGATCCAGACCAGATGATACGCATTGCGTAGGTCCAGCTTGGTGAACACCGTAGCACCCTGTAAGGAGTCGAAAGCAGAGCTCATCAAGGGCAGGGGATACTTGTTCTTGACTGTGATATCATTCAACCCCCGATAATCAATACAAGGTCGAAGAGAGCCATCCTTCTTACTCACAAAGAAGAATCCTGCCCCCAGGGGTGATGACGAGGGACGAATGAGACCAGCAGCTAGGGACTCCTTTATGTAGGTCTCCAGAGCTTCACGTTCAGGTCGGGAGATGCTGTATAACCGTCCCTTGGGATAGACAGCTCCAGGGAACAGGTTTATGGCACAATCATATGGTCGGTGGGGAGGAAGTGACAGAGCCCTCTGCTTACTGAACACCTCCCCCAAATCGTGATATGTTTCGGGGACCAGGGACAAATCTGGGGGGTTAGCCTCAATGACCTGACTGGGAACAGAATGGGAACAGGTAGTCTTGAGGCAGTTAGCATGACAATCAATGCTCCAACTAGTTACCTTGCCAGTCACCGAATCGAACGTGGGATTGTGTTCCTTCAGCCAGGGGTATCCAAGGACCAGAGGAACATGGGGAGAAGGCAGAATGAAGAATGAGATAACCTCAGAATGATTCCCTGACAACAGCATCTTAACCGGTTCAGTCCTCATTGTGATACGTGCCAGACTACTGCCGTTCAGAGTGGTAGCTTCAATGGCTTCCGGTAGTCGCTCCTTGGGAAGCCCCAGCTGTTCCACCACGTCGGCATCAATAAAGCTGCCATCGGCACCTGAATCGATGAAAGCGTTAATCGCTAAACTCTGATTCCTGTTCATGAGGGTAGCCGGGAAACGGGGTCTGACAGGGGTATTGAGAGGTTGAAACCGGCTCGCTAAAAGTCCTCCCAAACTTAGCGAGCCGGGTAGTTTGACGGCCGCTGGGAACAAGTGGAGATGTAATGTCCCGAACTACCACAGTAGAGGCAGCGGTTGGTCTCACGTCTATGTTGGCGCTCCTCCTTGGTTAGCCCGTGCCGCCCCACTTGCATGGGTTCAGAATCTGGAGGCAGGACCTCTCCACTAATCCCGTGTGGTGGACAATGATCGACGCGTTCTGGTCCACCTCCTGACCCGACTGGGAACCGAGAAGCTGATTGATTGGACGGGCCCCATTGCTTCTCCCTCCTTCTCTCTCGAACTCTGTTATCCACCCGAATAGACAAAGCGACCAAACTGTCCAGGTCACTAGGCTCCGGGTAGGAGATCAGCTCATCCTTGAGTTGCTCCGACAACCCCTGATAAAAGGCTGCTTGCAGTGACTCCTCATTCCACCCACTCTCCACAGCCAATGTCCTGAATTCGATTACGAAGTCAGTCACTCTGCGAGCTCCTTGGCGAAGAGAAAACAGGCGCTTAGCTGCGTCCTTACCTCGGACAGGATGGTCAAACAGCTTCCTCATCTCTGCCGTGAACTCCTGGTATGAAGCCATGCAGGTGTCCTGTCGTTCCCATACGGCTGACGCCCACTCCAGGGCTCTACCACGCAGCAATTCAATGACAAAGGCTATCCTAGCCTTGTCTGTGGCATAAGAGTGGGGCTGTAGATCGAACACTAATCCACACTGCATAAGAAAGGAACGGCATCTTCCCAAATCCCCCTCATATTTATCAGGCGTCGGAACCTTGGGCTCACGGAAGGGCACAGCTCCAGAAGCGGCAGGCGAGATGGGTGAAACCGGTGGTGGATTCTCCACCGGCAAACTGAGCTGAGCCTGGATCTTCGTCAGACTGGTAAAAAAGTTCAGAACTGACAACGCTATCTCCTGTAGCGCCGTGCTATGTTGTCCCAACATCTTCTCCTGATGGGTAATGGCATGGCGAACAGAGTCCAGGTCCGCTGGGTTCATTTCTGGCCGGATCGTTCTGTCACGATTCTCTAAGACAGAACCCAGAAGCAGACCAGGACAAGGTGAGTTGAACGAAGGTGAGTGTTTATTTACAGATTCAAAAGATGCAGAATAATCCAGGAGACGGAGCGGGTGGCGGAGATGAGTAGGTGGAGGTGAAGTGGCAGATTAAATGATGGCACGGCAGGGGTTGGGTGAAGGTTCCGGGAGAATGATGTTAATGGCTAACGATCCGGCAGGAAATGGATGTCAGGTCAGAGCTTAAGAAGGGGTGATGATCAGAACCAGGTGTGCCGAGGCTGATGAGAAGCAGGTGCGGGTAATCGAGAGATCACCCGCCTAGCAACGTCGCCCGGCAACCGGACAGGGTGCGTTCAGGAACCAGGAGATACCGAGCAGAAAAACGGCAACACAGGCAGGAACAGACTCAGGACGCAGGGTTCATGACAGTTACGAAAATCATGAGGTTTCGATCTATCAAAAAAATTTGTCCAGAGTACAGTATCTGATCGATATAGTCTGTTCAGCTGGAGGCAGGACTCTCGTTGCCCTCTCTCTGTCACTAACACTGGACTACTGATCCCTCTGAAGTCCCTTCACATGCTGTGGATAGCAGACTCACCAAATCAAAATGCTGAGAGACAGTATACTGGATCAAACACATCGAGCCCACATAAAAAAAGGCCCTTTGAAAGGCGGCAGCAGAGAACTCAGTGATGTTTCTCCCTGGCAGATTGAGCCAATTTGGCAGCGAGAAACTGGGAGAGATTAAGGTTCCTCTCAGTCAGTCCTGCAGCACACAAGCTGTGATTACATTAGCCACTGGATGTCAATGCTGTGATTGCCAGGCACATTCACACAAGGAAATCATCTGTGTCAACTTCACACATACACAGACAGTCACAAATTCAGGGAAAATGGACATTGATCTGAACGTTAATTGATTTACCTGATGAGACACCAAAAATATAAACACATTCTTTAAGCTTGTTATATCCTTAATGTGTGTCGAAAATGGTTACAAGCTGAAGGAAAATCAAAGGCAGTACAAAGAAATGTTTCTGCCACCAAGAACCTCTGAACACAAAAAATTTACACATTTTCTTTCCACACAACCAGTTCATATTACCCAGGAGCCATCAGCACTGCTACTATAAGCCAGTGACCCCAGGGAGATGGGTCAAATGGTCACTCTGAAAACAGTGTCATATGTACACTCTGCACCAATATAAATATTGTGAACAAAATACATTAGGAACCAAAACAAATTAAGGCTACAGTGAATTTGGAAAGTATTCAGACCCCTTGAATATTTCCACATTTTGTTACGTTACAGCCTTTTCCTCATCAATCTACACACAATACCCCATAATGATAAAGCGAAAACAGGTTTATAGACATTTTTGCAAATGTATTAAAAATAAAACACGGAAATACCTTATTTACATAAGTATTCAGACCCTTTGCTATGAGACTCGAAATTGAGCTCAGATGCATCCTGTTTCATCCTTGAGATGTTTCTACAACTTGATTGGAGTCCACCTGTGGTAAATTCAGTTGATTGGACATGATTTGGAAAGGCACACACCTGTCTAAATAAGGTCCCACAGTTGACAGTGCATGTCAGAGCAAAAACCAAGCCATGAGGTCGAAGGAATTGTCCGTAGAGCTCCGAGACAGGATTATGTCGAGGCACAGATCTAGGGAAGGGTACCAAAAAATGTCTGCAGCATTGAAGATCCCCAAGACCACAGTGGCCTCCATCATTCTTAAATGGAAGAAGTTTGGAACCACCAAGACTCTTCCTAGAGCTGGCTGCCCGGCCAAACTGAACAATCGGGGGAGAAGGGCCTTGGTCAGGTTGGTGACCAAGAAGCTGATGGTCACTCTGACAGAGCTCCAGAGTTACTCTGTGGAGAGGGGAGAACCTTCCAGAAGGACAACCATCTCTGCAGCACTCCACCAATCAGGCCTTTATGGTAGAGTGGTCAGACGGAAGCCACTCCTCAGTAAAAGGCACATGACAGCCCGCTTGGAGTTTGCCAAAAGGCACCTAAAGGACTCTCAGACCATGAGACACAAGATTCTCTGGTCGGATGAAACCAAGATTGAACTCTTTGGCCTGAATGCCAAGCATCACATCTGGAGGAAACCTGGCACCATCCCTACGATGAAGCATGGTGCTGGCAGCATCATGCTGTGGGGATGTTTTTCAGCAGAGAAGAATGGGAGAAACTCTCCAAATAGAGGTGTGCCAAGCTTGTAGCGTCATACCCAAGAAGACTCGAGGCTGTAATTGCTGCAAAAGGTGTTTCAACAAAGTACTGAGTAAAGGGTCTGAATACTTATGTAAATATGATATTTCTGTTTTTGTGTTTTAATACATTTGCTAAAATTTCTAAAAACCTGTTTTTGCTTTGTCATTAAGGGGTATTGGGTGTAGATTGATGAGGAAAAATATATATTTAATCCATTTTAGAATAAGGCTGTAACGTAACAATGTGGAAAAAGTAAAGGGGTCTGAATACTTTCCGAATGCACTTTAGATGTAAGGTTTGGTTTCATTGAGGATTTGACTGGGATATTTCCTTGTTTCCTTCCATAAATACTGTTATTCGATATTTATGATTACAAATATGTACTAGTTGTCAGCACACACATAGATATTCATGCAGACATACATTATACGATATACACTGAGTGTAGAAAACATTAAGAACACCTTCATAATATTGAGTTGCCCTCATAACAGCCTCAATTCGTCTGGGATGCTGGCCCATGTGGTTGTTGACTCCAATGCTTCCCACAATTGTGTCAAGTTCTTGATACACACGGGAAACTGTTGAGCGTGAAAATCCCAGCAGCGTTGCAGTTCTTGACGCAAACCGGTGCGCCTGGCACCTACTACCATACCCCGTTCAAAGGCACTTAAATCTTTTGTCTTGCCCATTTGCCCTCTGAAATGGAAGAAGTTTGGAACCACCAAGACTCTTCCTAGAGCCTAAACTGAGAAATCGGGGGAGAAGGGCCTTGGTCAGAGAGGTGACCAAGAACCCGATGGTCACTCTGACAGAGCTCCAGAGTTCCTCTGTGGAGATGGGAGAACCTTCCAGAAGGACAACCATCTCCGCAGCACTCCACCAATCAGGCCTTTAAGTTAGATTGGCCAGACAGAAGCCACTCAGTAAAAGGCACATGACAGCCTGCTTGGAGTTTGCCAAAAGGCACGTAAAGACTCTCAGACCATGAGAAACAAGATTCTCTGGTCTGATGAAACCAAGATTGAACTCTTTGTCCTGAATGCGAAGCATCACATCTGGAGGAAACCTGGCACCATCCCTACGGTGAAGCATATCAATTTTAGAATAAGGCTGTAACGTAACAAAATGTGGAAAAAGTCAATGGGTCTGAATACTTTCCGAATGCACTATATACTCTAGAGTTCCTACAGGGTGCATAGCACTCCAGGCTGAGCATCCCCATTGAGCTGATAAGCATGTTGAGTTGACAAGAGGGAGTTTTTGACACCAAAGAAACTCCTAAAACTGTGCATATTATGCACCAGTCTGAGCCTCCCTCCTGATGTGCCCTAAATCTTATTGGATCTAGTAGTCTAAGTAGTATAAAAGCTTGCAGCCAGATTAAGATAAATAATTCCCATTCTAAAGAAACAAATAACCAAAATAACTGGATTCCCACTGTTTTTATTGACTTTTAAACAGAACATGAATACTGCTCAGACAGATTTAGACTCACTATATTTCAGGCTCTATTTCTATATTTTAAAATACACTGTAATTTGCTCCTGAAGCAGACAGTCTACAAAAAAAAAAAAAGTAGCGTCTTAATCCATCATAACATAATATATTTACTGTACATGAAGTTCATTAGTCCACATCAGTGTCACAATTGACTGTTAGAAGTCATATTATGAATTATGAAATCCAACCTCCAAATGAATAGTGTAATGGAGACTGCGGTTGGTCGTGCTCACAGTGCATACCTCCATCACAGATAGCAGAGCCTGGCCGGGCCGGGCTCTGCGGCTATTGCTCTTCTCTAATGGATGGTACATTAGCCATGGCATGGGAAACCTTGTCCTGTTTGCACTCCACATTTCAATCACTGCAGCTTTGGGCCTGCTGCCTGACTGCCTGGCTGCTGCAGCACAGTGCAGTGTCCACAGGGACAGATTAATAGAACCACAACACACACAGCCACCGCAGCCAAAACACAGCCACAGGCCTTAATCTGGCTGCTGACAGACATTTGGAGGGCCCGAATTCATGGAGCTGTCAGATTAGACTGGGCGGGGTGGAGGGGAGAGGTGAATGAAGCTTCTGACTGACACACACATCCCAATACTCCCCACCCACACCCCATACAGTAGTCCCTTCTCCCTATCAGTTGTGTATTTTAGCAGGTCTGAGGCACAGTGAGTCTGTTGATTAAGTGGGGTTAACTTCCTGTAATTGGGGCTCTGACCTCCCAGCTGCTCCAATGGGCCTGAGGACAGAGGGGTATTAGGCTGCACCACTCAAGACAGAGAGAGACAGGGGTGATGTCATCATGGCTGCCTCTGGGGAGACTAAGACTGGTTGGGTTTGTTTCTGTTGTGCCAGCCCAGGTACAAAGCCCTGTGTGCTGCTAGAGTAATACAGCCTTATGAGGGATCTGCCCATCCAGGTGCTTTCAGACTAGAGGTGTTCACGGTTTGAACAGACCCAAAATTCTGATATCCGACCCGGAACTTTTGTCTTGGATCTGGGTCGGGTGTGATATAATTGCCACGGGTGTCAGGTATGTGCAATTAAAACTGGACCCGTCCTCTGTTAATTTAGTGTTTGTGTGATGAGAACTGCGCGAGCTTGTTATCTGTGTCAGACACTTGCAATGTATAGCTCACGTCCAGCTGAAACTGGTTCCGGCTCATCACCTCATGTGCACCTGCTACTGAGGAGATCATCACCTCATGTGCACCTGCTACACAGAGACAGAGACAGAGACAGAGAGAGAGAGAGAGAGAGAGAGAGAGAGAGAGAGAGCGAGAGAGGGGGGGGGGGGGGGGAGATAAGGGAGAGAGAGTGTGCACTAGAGGTATTAGAAAGCTGATAAGAATGGGAGAAATAATCAGAGTGATAAGCAAGGAGAAAGGAGGGACAACACAAAAAGTGCCAGGTCGTGTGTGTGAGTCAAACATTGGGACATGATTAAGTGTGTCTAATCATGTCAGTCAGGCTCTAATCCATGGCTAACTCAGACATTACATTTACCTTACAGACCAGACGACTAACTGTTAGACAGATGAGCTACCAGAGAATGTCATGCAACCAACATCTCTGGCTAGCCTCGTATTTACACAGACTGAAACAGAACAGAAAACTCACAGCTGAACCAAAAACTGCACCTACAGCGAGCGAGGACCAAGAGGTCATGCACTGACTGAGCAGAGAGAGAATTATAGCTTATAACGAAAAAGAGTCCTCAGCAATATACTCTGAGTGTACAAAACATTAGGAACACCCCCCTTTTGCCCTCAGAAGAGCCTCAATTCATCGGGACATGGACTCTAGAAGGTGTTGAAAGCCTTCCACAGGAATGCTGGCCCATGTTGACGCCAATGCTTCCCACATTTGTGTCAAGTTGGCTGGATGTCCTTTGGTTGGTGGACCATTCTTGATGCACACAGGAAACTGTTGAGTGTGAAAAACCCAGCAGAGTTGCAGTTCTTGACACACTAAACCGGTGTGCCTGGCACCTACTACCATACCCCGTTCAAAGATTTAGCAAGTGACATCAATAAGGGATCATCGCCTTCACCTGGATTCACCTGGTCAGTCTATGTCATGGAAATAGCAGGTGTTCCTAAAGTTTTGTACACTCAGTGTATACTCTCTCCCACACAAGGCCTACTTCTCTTCCTAGAATAGTAGGAGTATAGAAAAACAAGAGGTGAGGCCCACAAACAGAGCAGAGGCACATGAAGAGACGAGGCAGTAGAGGCACATATACTGTACACAACCCTCCTCCTCACTCACTTACTCACTCACTCACTCACTCACTCACTCACTCACTCACTGCCTACTGCCTCTGTGCAGTTGGCTGCAGACCAAGTAGAAAACCTGTCTGTTGGAGCAAACTGAGAATCTGACACCTCCTGAGAAAAAACACACATGCCTCGCGGCAGCAGGCAAATGATACACCCGCACAAAACTGCAGGCGGACGGGCTGGAATTTCACCAATTTCATCAATGGGGGAAGTGATGAGTGTGTGAGTAAGAGAGGAGAGATAAAGGCAAGTCCAGACAGAGTTAGAGTCAGAGAGTGGATAGTACAAAGTGGAGACTGTCCGAACCAGACGGCCTGTTCAAAGTTACAAAGAAAACAGCCACATAACCAAAGTTCCCCGAAACTGTCATTATCATCTACTTTGGTTTCACAATCAGCGCCAATGATATCAGCTTTGATCATGGGAATACTTTTCTGACATGATTTAGCACACCACAATAAACAATAATTGGAGCGATGGCATGCTCCCGAGTGGCGCAGTGGTCTAAGGCACTGCATCGCAGTGCTAGCTGTGCCACTAGAGATACTGGTTTGAATCCAGGCTCTGTTGTAGCCGGCCGTGACCAGGAGACCCATGGGGCGGCGCACAATTGGCCCAGCGTCGTCCAGGGTAGGGGAGGGAATGGCTGGCAGGGAGGTAGCTCAGTTGGTAGAGCATGGCGTTTGCAACGCCATGGTTGTGGGTTCGATTCCCACGGGGGGCCAGTATGAAAAAAAAATATATATATATAATGTATGCACTCACTAACTGTAAGTCGCTCTGGATAAGAGCGTCTGCTAAATGATGTAAATGTAAATGCTCTACTGACGACACAGATATACAATAGGCATGGTGTGTTAACACTTCAAAGCAGCACTGTGGCTACTACACAGCTCATCACCATCACCACAACGGTGTTGCATGCCCTGGTCCGGCCCTTCAGTGGATGCAAGGCACAGTTCAGTGAGCATAGCTAACCACTGACAAAGTGTGATTAACTGAACCCTACACAAGAAGACAGATCTGGAAGCCCGCCAAACAAAGACACTGACAGAGAGGGCCCCCTCTGCTGGGGCCCTCTCTCTCTCCTCCTCCTATCCTGGGATCTTCACTCAACCACAGTCAATTGTTTTGTGTTGTGGGCAGCAGTGATAAAGGGTGGGTGGCACCACTATCCAAATTGTATTTAAGCGAGTGGTATCTGTTTCAACCAAAAGTGGTGTATTTATACTGGAGGTTTGGCACGAAGTTGTGTTATTTTGTGGAGGGACATAATAACTTCTGAGATCTACTGTCTGACAAAGCCTATACAATCCATTATTTCTCACGGTGGCATTCTCTGTATACAAAAGGTCCATTATTCATGTTCTGCTTAATAATTCTATAGATTAATACAATTAATTTACAAGTTCTATTTGTGTTTGAGTGGGTGCAGATGAGACGAGGTAGTAAAACTGGTAGTATTTGGTAGAGGTGTCAGCTTTATCCATTTTACAGAGAGGCTCAGACTTCTGAGGTCGTCAACTTTCCCCAGCTAGCTCTGTGGTATCAAGAGCAGTGAAGAGGAAGCAGAGAGAGCATTGGTGCCTGAAGAGGAATGTGAAACATTCTAATGAGGTGCCTGGCTGCCTCTGTTCCTGACTATAGAGCTGCAGCAGTCAGTCAGTCAGTCAGTCAGTTTTAGCCTGCTCTAGGCTGCACTTTCCCTCTCCCTGCCCTCACTGCTGCCTGTCTCTGAACTACCACTTACCTCACTCTCCCAGCTCTCTTCTCCTCTCCTCTCCTCGCTTCTCAACCAGCAGGGCTTTCATTCCATTAGAGAGACGAGATGCAAGGCAAGACAGGACGACAGAGGCTAGATTCTGCGAGTCACTTCTTGGTATACACACACACCACAGTTGTACAAAATGTGACTGGGTCTTATTGATGAGCGGGCTCAGCAGTCAACTGTATGACTGATACTTCCTAACTTCAGTGACCCCGATGGCTGCTACAAAGCTAGGCCACTAGAGTCTAATCTCTGTCTAAGCCGGGGAGGGGGGGTTCTAAGCTAACATATGGAATTGTTTTAAGATGGTCATAACAAGGATTATTTAGCTATTTGATTTTGAATTTTAAGACCGTTTAAGGTATCCAAAAAATTGAACATTGAATTTGGCATTACTGCTATTAGCCAATAGAAACGCATTGAATAACAGATTCACTACATGGAACAACAGATAGTCCCAAAAAAAATCTAAAGGAAGTTTGTTCTGAAGTGTCTTGTCTTGTATCTGAGAGATATAAGAAAGATCAGGGGGGAAGAAAAATGGTTACATGTACACTATATATATGTGGACACCCCTTCAAATTAGTGGATTCGGCTATTTCAGCCACACCCATTGCTGACAGGTGTATAAAATCGAGCACACCGCCATGCAATCTCCATAGACAAACATTGGCAGTAGAATGGCCTTACTGAAGAGCTCAGTGACTTTCAACGTGTCACCGTCACAGGATGCCACCTTTCCAACAAGTCAGTTCGTCAAATTTCTGCCCTGCTAGAGCTTCCCCGGTCAACTGTAAGTGCTGTTATTGTCAAATGAAAACGTCTAGGAGCAACAACGGCTCAGCCGTGAAGTGGTAGGCCACACAAGCTCACAGAACGGGACCGCCGAGTGCTGTAGCACATACCGCAATAACGATTGTCTGTCCTCGGTTGCAACACTCACTACAGTTCCAAACTGCCTCTGGAAGCAACTTCAGCACAAAAACTGTTAGTCGGGAGCTTCATGAAATGGGTTTCCATGGCCGAGCAGCCGCACACAAGCCTAAGATCACAATGCACAATGCCAAGTGTTGGCTGGAGTATTGTAAAGCTCACCGCCATTGGACTCTGGAGCAGTGGAAACGCGTACTCTCGAGTGATGAATCACGCTTCAACATCTGGCAGTCCGACAGACGAATCTGGGTTTGGCGGATGCCAGGAGAACGCTACCTGCCCGAATGCATAGTGCCAACTGTAAAGTTTGGTGGAGGAGGAATAATGGTCTGGGGCTGTTTTTCATGGTTCGGGCTAGGCCCCTTAGTTACAGTGAAGGGAAATCTTAACGCTACAGCATACAATGACATTCTAGACGATTCTGTGCTTCCAACTTTGTGGCAACCGTTTGGGGAAGGCCCTTTCCCGTTTCAGCATGACAATGCCCCCGTGCACAAAGTGAGGTCCATACAGAAATGTTATTTTTTTTCGAGATCGGTGTAGAAGAACTTGAGTGGTCTGCACAACCCTATCGAACACCTTTGGGATGAATTGGAACGTCGACTGCGAGTCAGGCCTAATCGCCCAACATCAGTGCCCGACCTCACTAATGCTCTTGTGGCTGAATGGAAGCAAGTCTACGCAGCAATGTTCCAACATATAGTGGAAAGCCTTCCCAGAAGAGTGAATGCTGTTATAGCAGCAAAGGGGAGACCAACTCCATATTAATGCCCATGATTTTGGAATGAGATGTTTGACGAGCATGTGTCCACATACTTTTGGTCATGTAGTGTAGTTGTTATTTAGCGGCCTTAAAAGTATGGCTTGTCTACTTTGAAGAACTACTGAAATAGTGATTTTGTCAGACAACAGACAGCTAGCCAGCTAGACTAGCCTAGTAGCCTGAAGGATGACTCTTTGGGGAGCACAGAGACACATGGCTGGCTGGTTGCTACTGTCTGAGCAGATATGAGAAGATGACTTGGAATTAAATAGTAAGTCATCAAATATATTTTTTTTATATACACAACTTAAATATTTTATTAAAGTAATCTTAATAAAGGATGGTTTATTAATAAGTGATATGCAGTAATGGGCAGTCACTACCTTCACTGGGGTTTTATTAATTTAATAATAAAGTAATCATCATACTAAAACCAAATATGTAGTATACACAACCAAAATGTATTATTTCAGTAAAGTAATGTGAAAGATGATGGTTAAAGCCTATTATGTGATAGTAATGGGCAGTCACTACTATCAATTGTTTTATTCTGTGTTGTTACAGTATTGAACCACATAACACATTTATTGTTTTAAAAAAATCTAATCCGAAATTGAAAACCGTGATTATTTTTCAAAAACCTAACCCTTATCCCCTTATTTTAGGCACTAAACTATCTCCATATATACAGTACTTGCATTCATTTTTTAATCTGGTACTGGGGACCTATAGACTAATCTTGTGAGGCTTGTGGTCGTCCTAGAGAAAAACGGAGAACACCATCGTGTTCGTGAGAGTCTCAGCTTTCAAATGTGTCATTAGTGTGTAGCCCAAACCGTTCGGACGCTACAGACAGAAGTTGGCAGAAGAGGCTGTACCGACTTCAGACGAGTCCCAAGACGCTTGTGGGGGTCATAGAGTAAAAGAGAACACCATCGTGAGAGTTTCCTCTTTTAATAGAGTGGTCATAATAGTTTTTAGGCCAAACCGTTTGGACCCTACAGTCGTTTTCGTGACAAACACCGCTCTAGCTCAGCTACCTTTCACCGCAGATGTGGAAGGGCGATATCGGCGGATGCGGTGGACTGAGAAGCAGCCCATGCAAAAACACATATCTCCAACTTAAATAGACAGGTTTTGATGGGGATGTATTTATTATGTTAATTAGATTTCCGTGGGGCGCGGAAATTGTAGGCCAAGGGTTAACCTTGTTGGGGCTCATCTCACTCAGCTGGAATCTCAGGCTTCTTCACCAGGTGGGCAGGGTTCAATCTAACCTCAGTAAAGATGCATTAATTTCTGATATTGGATATGATATCTCAAATGACTTGATTAGTGTTCTCAATGAGACTCAATCATTCAGGAAAGTAATAATATAATAATAATATATGCCATTTAGCTGATGCTTTTATCAGAAGTGACTTACAGTCATGTGTGCATACATTTTTACGTATGGTTGGTCCCGGGAATCAAACCCACTATCCTCAGATTTCAAGCGCCATGCTCTACCAACTGAGCTACAGAGAACCCACAAAGTAGGTCTACCCAGGTGCATCCATCTGCAAATAATGTTTTTGCTCATACATCTGAAAACCCACGCTAAGAACTGGAATGGGGGTAGAAGTGGTAGTGGGGGTACAGTGACTTCAAAAACACAGAGAAAAGATTCATGACTTTATGTAGGTATAGCCGATGCTGCTCTGAGAGATGGCTTTGAAATTCAGATGGTTGATGCCAGGGGCACTGCCAGGGTTTACTGCAGTCAATTTGTGAGTGATGGTGGGCTTGACTCACCTCCTTCTCCCTCTTCTCTACAACATTCTCTCTCTCTCACTCATTGTCTTTCTCTCTCTCACCCAATGTCAGTTTTCGATTAGAGGATGTGCAAGCAGACTTCACTTCTCCCTATCCACCCACCCACCTTGCATTCTGAATAACAACTGCAGTGGAAACTATTTGCTACTTTTTTCTCCAGGCCACAATGCACAACGTAATCAATGTTAGAAGCCCTTGACCAAAGTTTGTCTTGCAGGGAAGATTTGCAAACTGAGCCATTTATTTATTTTTGCTAATTTGAGAAGTTCCCAGAAGCATATGCCATATATAAAATGAGGCAGGGCAGGGTGAGCTAAAGGGGATTGCTTTGTAGTGACTGTCACCTTCCTCAATGCACTCCACAAAGGTAAATAATCCCTTCAAATGATCTGTGGTAAAAACTGGACACATTTGTGATCAAACAAACATCCTCATCTCAACGGATTTGGAGGTGGTGGGTTGATAACGCTATACCAACACAAACAGGGAGAGATGTGCCTGAAATAGAAGTGATAGATAGCATAGCAGTATAATTAACTCAGGGATGGGGCGGTTGAATCGTTGTATGTCTGCATCCTATAATTCAGCCTCTCCAGATGCAAAGCCCTGGTGGCGAGCCAAGCACCAGCCTTCCTTCCCCCAAGGCTGCTATCAGCAAGATAAAAACGTTATTTTACAAAAATGCTTTTATTGATTCAAAACAGGTATGGAATACAGTTAAGGGCTTAGTTGGTACATTTATCTCATCATGCCCATCTAGTGTGGAGGTTGACAGGAGAACAATAACAAAACCAGCTGATATTGCCAATATTTTTGCATATTTTTTTTTTACAAAGAAAACACATTTATTGAGAGATAATGTAAACACCCATTCTTCCAAACAAGCTATTGTCCAATGGATTTATGATCATATTTTAGTCTACCATGGTGTCAGTAGAGGAGGTGTTAAACCAATTGAAGTCATTACCCAATGGTAAATCTACAGGTTATGATTTAATGGACCATTTTTTACTTCGCTATGCTGCTCCCAAATTGCAGCTCCACCGGAATACATATTTAATTGGTCACTGGAAAAGGGAAAATTTCCAAATGTATGGAAGCATGCTAAACTGTGTCCAATCCTGAAAGACAGCAAATAACCCATTACTCCTGCCAATAGTCGACCAATCAGTTTACTCCCTTCACTCAGTAAGATATTGGAGGGTTATTGTGTGTAGACAAATATGGGAGTATATGGAAAATATTTATCTGATCACAGCCAATCAGCATGCTTATCGCAAAAACCATTCCACTACCACTGCATTGGTTGACTGTCACGGTTTCGGCCGAGGCTGCCTCTCCTCCTTGTTCGGGCAGGCTTCGGCGCTCGTCGTCTCCGGAGTTCTAGCTGCCACCGATAGATGTTTCATGTTCGTTTGCTTTTGTCTGTTTGTGTCACACCTGTTTCTGTTTTACGTAATTGTGTCCTATAAGTTTCTCGTTGTTTGTCATGTGTTGTTTATCCGGTATATTTTAGTGCGTCTTCAAATTGG